TAATAGTTGGCTTCTGAATAAATCTAACGGAGTAACACTTGCCATTGATGAATCAATGACTTACTGCAAAAACACAATATATATAGATGTTGTAAGATAGAAATTCTACAGACAACTGGGATGTGGGTCATTTATTTATTTAAACACATAAATATTGGTACAAGGAAGCACCAGATAAATACGCGCCTCACAAATCTCATTTGGTTTGTGTGAGGGCTGTGATACTGCCCAGGTGCCCAGACTGAAGCAGGTAGTTTTCTTAGGGGACCACACCCGGAGCCTTTGACCTAAAGGTCTGATCCACAAGGCAGTGGAGCATCGTGAGGAGATGCAGTCCCATGGTAGCCGTTGACCAATGACAGGTTCATCCGCCATTTGTACCCTCAGGATACTGGAGCCCATGTGCACCATTGGTTTGGAATCAGGGTTTTTCAACCTGCCGAGGTGGACCCTCCATGTCCACCAACCCGGTTAAAGCGCCGGACGTTCGCTTTTCGTCCTCTCATTTTCGTAAACAACACCCCCGTCACGAGAAGGAAGTGAGTAGGACTTCCCTGTCAGAGGCTATATATGCGTGGCCATATGAGAGCATTTCGAGAGGGAAAGCAGACTCTCCTCACTGTCGGCCGTACCAGGGCATTTGGGGGTTTTGTAGTATAGTTTATATGTTAAGCTCATATACTTTATTCTAGCTTCTGGCCAAGCCAATTCGCTTGTCCATTATGTTCTCACCTTGTCAATTATTCACTTGTAACGCTGACCATTTTTATATGACAGTATGTGTATGTACCCTTCTTATCCTACTTATCGCATGTCTGTCATTTATTCTTGTCTGATTATAAATATTGATTAACGCTTGCTAAAAGTGAGTTGGCTTACCCGCCATCTCCAATGCGCATTATTTTCGCTTCGCTCTGTCGAGTTGGCTTATCGGTCATCTCCAATGTGTGTCATTTTTACTTCGCTCGCTGATATTTACTCATGTGTTTATAACTTTCTGGCCCACATCATTTGACAATAAACTGTAGCTGCCACTTCTTTTTGCCTTCTGATTTTATGCACCGCTAAGACTTTTATTATAACAATTATCGAGGTGAACTATTAACGAAGCACGGCACTACATAACTGGCGATCCCGACTTACGAACGCGAAGTAAAATTGGTAACTTCAACGTACGAACTCACAACAACTTAAATCCACATAAGTAGCATACGACGATGGTTAGGCATAGAATGTATTTTGGCAGAAGATCGATAACGAAAGAAAAGGAACGAAGGGCAGTCGCTATGAAAGTGCATGGACAATGAAGTCAGAGAAGATGGACTGATATTTACAGAAAGAACGATCAAGATTGAGCCAATTGATTGTTATTTTGAAACTGTTTACTGTATGGTTATCAGATTTTAGTGAGATAGTCTGTAATTTGCACTTGAATACATTCAATTGTCCCCATTCGTGTACTTATTCACTACACAACAAATAATAGTGATTTTCTGATTTACACCTCTGTATCTTCTTAACACATTTTCCTTGTTAATTGATTCTACAGTTGGAATTCATACTCCGTACCAACTAAAAACCCGTTATCCTCATTGACAATATATTGTAACAATATTATCTTCAAATTTAAACCTTCAATTGTGCCAAAGTTCAATCAGAAACTAACAGAATATGGGATGCTCCAAAATAATTGATTATTTTATTTCTTTATTTAAAGACATAAATATTAGTACATAGGGGCACAAGATATATGTATGTGCCGCACAAATCTCATTTGATTCGTGTGAGGGCTATGATACTGCCTACGTGCCCGAACCGAAACAGGTGGTTTTCGTGGAGGACCACACACTGAGCCTTTGACCTAAAGGTGTTGTTTTGACCACGTCGTCGCCAATTGTTATGTCTTGATCAAGGTCGTCCTAATTTGTTATGACGTTACAAATTAAACAAGGACGTAACTCGCGTGAATTATCCGCCAATAGAATACGACTTCTCCGACCTTAACACGGTGACAATCAAGGACGTCCAATCAGTATGAGTAATCTCGCGTCCTTATGGGTCCTTAATCCGTCTAGCCCGTCCACTTGAGTCCAGAACACCAATAGCATCTTCTGCTATGCGAATTATTTATTTCAAGCATACTCTGTTTATATACCAGACAGGCAGACCACATCACCCCATAAAATAGAAAATAATATTTGTACAAAATCAAGCCAAATGTGGCTGTAAGCGTGGGAGACAATCAATAAACTGAGTACAATTTAGGAACAGTAAATCGTATAATGATAATCCATAAATCAAAATGAAGCTTATAATAAGATGAATATAGATATACACAATCTAGTTACTTGATAGTTATACAAAAGGAATATACATAGAATAATAGTCTAATAATAGGTCCTGGGAGTTACCCGTACTTATGTCTTCGCTAGTATATTACAAAAGGTCTGATCCACAAGACAGTAGAACATCGTAAGGAGATGCAGTCACATCGTAACCGATGACTAATGATTGATTCATACACCATTTGTTCCTTCAGGATACTGGAGACCATGTGCACCATTGGTTTGGAATGAGGGTTTTCAAACTCTCCGAGGTGGACTTTACGTGTCCACCAACCCGGTTAAAGCGCCGGACATTCGCTTTTCGTCCTCACAATTTCGTAAACAGTAACGCCACGAGAAGGTAGTGAGTAGGACTTCCCTGTCAGTGGCTTTATATGCGTGGCCGTTTGAGAGTATTTTGAGGGAGAGCAGACTCTCCCCACTCTCGGCCGTACCAGGGCATTTGGGGGCAAGTTAATTGGTCACCGCACAAAAAACCCAAATCAGTCGAAATATAGCAAGTAGTTTAAAACAGGAACCCTGTTCAGTTAAGATACGGCTATTCAGAAATCTGAGTCAAATAATTAGACTAGAATTGGAAGAGATAATTATAAGATTTTTTCGTTGATTTTAAGGACTGAAATCGATCAGTCTATTTTGGGACATGTGCATCCTGTAAGGATTGTCTCAATAATATTATTAAATGATAAACATTTTTAGAAATACATGGATGGTGTCTAACAGTGAAATCTAGGACTTGTCAGCTGGATGTACCTGCACAACACAGCTGATGTCCACTCAAGGATTCCCACTCAACACCATACATTTCAAACGCCATCACGTTATCCACTGAACTACTGAGTCTAAACAGTCAGCGATTAGTGGGATTCGATAAGTTTTAATTTATACATAATCATTGTTTGAATCTTCCTTTTGATGTTTAGGAGTGTAACTGATGACATCCAAGTGGAACCTAATTTGACTGACGATATTTTGAAATATCATTAACATTTATTCTGGTCTAATAGTCCACTGTTCAGTTTATATGATCCTTTTATTTAAATTAATGAGTAAGTGATAAATCACTACGTGTTGAATATCATTCAATTTGTGAATAATTTTCTCTTCGGTATAATTTTGTTTTCAAAAACGAACAACTCAAATTTGTATGGTTGTCAGATTGTAGTGAGATAGTTTGTAATTTTGTGCTCTAATACATTCTATAGTCCTCACTCGTCTTCTTGTGTACTACAATTATGACTCCGTGTTTATTGACAATGCGAAGTGACAAATCCAAGTAAATGTCACTTATTACTATCGATTACTCTTTTTTGTAGAATACTACATATAAGTTGTTGTTTACGAAGTCCACTATTTTTTCGTGTTATATAAACTCTATCTTACAAAGTTCCATCTTCACAAATTCTCAGGTGCGATTGTCATCATCGCAGTTTTGTATATCACCCATCAGTCTGTTTAATCTTGTTATATCTATTATTGCAGTAAGAGTAATTCTCATCATCCTCACTAGGAATCCAACCAATATATATATATATATATAGATGTAAACAGTTTCATTCCATTGTTAACAAGCATAGAATGCTCAGATGCAAACGACTCGATCTAAAACAGTATCTATTCCATCCAGTTACTTTCATATAGCAGAAACTCATTTGTTTTATGTGTACAACTAATGAATAGTGTCATCTCTTATAATTTATTCTGAATTCTGTTAGTATGAAACTATATAATTTACTTTTGATAATTTTAATTGTTATCTTGGAACCGTTTGCCAAGTGAAATGTTAGAACTATCTCAATGCAAATCTTATGAGAAATTCAGTATTCTAATTAACACAAAAAGTTTATTGGTGTTGTATGGTAGAAAAAAATTGAGTGCTAAAATCAGTCAGTCAGCAACAAAGTAGAACATCTTTTGTACGTACATTAGTTCAAGTTGTCATATCATATTAACACAGGGATACAGTTGTCGATTAAAATCTCATAGTAGTAGAAGTAGTAAGAGTATAAGTAGTAATCCGAAAGATTAGGGTTTCAATATGTTATTTAAGGAGTATAATGCAGTAAAATAAATTTGGAAAAAGAAAAACGATAGAGACATGAAGAAATAAGAAGATTAGAATTTAGGAGAACACAAAGAGTGGATACACCTTCGCCATTGCAAACGATTTTGAGCCATGTCATTCAAGGTCTCTAACCATCGATTGCTATCATCTCGCGGATCCCAATCAGGTAGTCTACACTTACCAACATGGCTCAGTTCACTTGTCAAAAACTTCATGGATTTGTGATACGTTTTGGTCTGACCGCCCCTAGCTTTCTTCCAACCTACTCCTACACTATGAAACATTGCACGTCAGGGCAGTCGGTGGTTGAACATACGTAACCTGTGTGTCTCAGCCATCACTACTTCATAAATCAATTTGCCATCTTTACCTAATACCCGTTTCTTAACAACTTCATTACTTACTCAATGGTCCCAGGATAATAATTATGAAAAGAGATCATCATCATTATCAATAATAAGAACAAAGATCAAAACTGTCAACACAATAAACAGAAAACAAAACCCACCTTAGTATGATGATAAATAGACCTTTTATTAGATACAGAATTCAATACTTGTTTATATATATATATCATATACAAATACTACTTATATCGAAAATTCCCAAACTGTTTCAGTAATATATTTCTGTTTCTTACAATTATTGATTTGTTTATTTATTTTTTTTTTTAAATTATTGATTAATTTACATAATATAATATTTGACTTATTTATTGATAATTCAAATAAAATACGATAATTTGATATTGATGACCAATTAATACCAAGGCAACCAATTGAAATTGGTAATAATGATGTATGCGATGTAAATTGTGATTTAGCATGATTAGTTACTAAGATAGCACAATGACTTAATGTAGATATACGTTGAAGTTCAGATATGATAAGTGCAAGTTGTGATATAGCTATGATGTAATAATGAAAAAAAAGATGAAGAAGAAAATCAATTACATTGACCGGATTCATTTCCTTTATAACATTAAACTTTATTTATAAATAATACGGGTGAACTCCATGTTGTCAAGCTGGGAAACTGTACATACTGGAGTTTTCCAGGGTACAGTTTTGGGGCCAGTGTTATTCCTCTTGTATGTAAATGACCTCCACCATCTACTATCGTCATCAGTCTTGCTATATGCTGACGATGTTAAGATATAGAGAGCGATACAAAGTAAGGGTGATAGCTTAGAACTCCAAAACGACCTGGAAAAATTATCTGGATGGTCCAAAACCTGGTGATTGCCGATAAATACTTCCAAGTGTATTGTGATGCATATTGGCCACCAGGGTACAGATACATACACGATGAATAACACTGAGCTAACTATTGTCCAGACACATAATGACTTAGGAGTTATCGTTAGTCAAGACTTAAAGACTACCGCACACTGCCGTGCAATAGCCGCCAAAGGCTTTAAAACTTTATGGTCCATAAGTAGGGCTTTCAGTCATCTCGACGCTAAAACGTTTCTGACTTTGTATAGATTGTTTGTGTGTCCTAAACTTCAGTACTGCATGCAAGCAGCTAGCCCCTGTCTAAAAAAAGACAGTGAACTCTTGGAAAGGGTTCAGAGAACAGCAACTAAGCTGATTCCCGGAATAGCAAAGCTCCCGTATGGTACTGGACTGACCAAGCTAAACCTATTCCCGCTGTCATATCGGAGAATCAGAGGTGACTTGATTACAGTTTTCAAATGGCTTAATTATAAATTTGCACTTGATCTGCCCTCATTTTTTCTAGTCTTCCGAAACAGAAAATTTACGAGGACACTCCAAAAATGTTCACAAGCTCAGAACGAATTACTTGTCAGCTGACTATCGACTTTCCCATCGAATAATCAACGAGTGGAATTCATTACCTCAGCACGTGGTTGAGGCTACATCCGTCGACTCTTTTAAAAGAAAGTTGGATCAATTGAGAGACCATCTTTACCAGAACTAACACAGGCAATCAAGCCTCCTGTCCTTTCCAAACTGAAACTGAATTATTGTTATGCCCCGATAAGGATAATGAATGGTAACTTTGGGATCTATTTATGAACCAATACTGTGCATATATTTTTTATTGTATTATCGCTAAATAACTAAACTATACATATTCGTGTCCCCCTTATTAAAAGCTCTATTTTGAATTATAAGCTATTGCTATATAATTTACCATTCACGAATTATGACCTGTCTATTATTTAATATCTCCCTTATTCACAGCCACATTTGGCTGTGAAGAGTCCCGTAATAGGACGAAACGGCTATCCAGTGCTTCCAGGTTTTCTGTGGTGGTCTAGCTTCAAATGTAGAGTAATTAACAACACTGAGGAAAATGAATGATGGAAATCTATCATAGTATTTCAATTAAAGGACTACTAGACTAGATAGGAATGAAAATCGCATTGAATAATGCATACTTTGGAATTAGTATTACAATTCATCTCTTAAATTCTCTAAATGATAACACTACATACATATGCATCTACAAAGAAATAACTTACCCAATTGTGGTAAAGCGGACATGCATGTTAAAAATGGTATCGTTAAACTATCTATAATAATAAGTTTACAATTTGAGAAAAATTCTTCAGTAGGAGAGGATATGTTGTGGAGATGACGTTGTGCTTTATCAATGTGCATTCGTATTGTTATTAGTGAATCAATGAGATGGCCAAATGTTGGTACTAAACAACAGCGAATCCTGGTGAGATATTGTTTGTCATCCTAAACCGAATTGAGATTAAACATTAGCATAAGAATAAATGGGTAGAAAGGAAAAGGGACTAAACACCAACATGAACAAGTATAATCAAATATTATGGTTGATGTAACATACTATTGGAAAGACACTTCAAGTCTAGTTATTTGCGAGGAACATTTTGCGCATGAGGATTGGAGATGAAGCAGATTATGAATAAATAAATTCATACTGGAATGTCCGATATTACTTACTTACTTAGGTCTGTTACCCTTCATGGAGGGGCATAGGCTGCAAACAAGCATTCTCCATTCAACCCTGTCCTCGGCAATCCTTTCCAGTTGTTATTCATCCTTTTCATATTTGCTTCTATTTCCTGGCGTAATGTGTTCTTTGGATTTCCTCTTCTCCGTTTACCTTCCAGATTTCAAGTTAGTGCCTGCCTCGTGATGCGGTTTGGTGATTTCCTCAATCCATGTCCTATCCACTTCCAACGTCTTTTCCTAATTTCCTGTTCAGCTGCAACCTGGTTTGTCCTCTGTCTTACAACGTTGTTGCTGATGGTATCCGTTCAGTGAATGTTGAGTATTTTGCGTAGACAACTGTTTATAAATACTTGTACCTTCTTGACGATGTGTGTAGTAGGTCTCCATGTTTCAGCTCTGTACAGTAGAACTGTCTTGACGTTCGTATTGAAGATTCTCACTTTGAAGTTAGTTAACAGTTGATTTGAGTTCCATATGCTCTTCTATTGTAGAAAGGCGGTCCTTGCTTTGCTAACACTCGCCTTCACATCTGCATCAGATGCTCCTTGTTCATCAATGATGCTTTCCAGATACGTGAATGTTTCCATCTCTTCCAGAGTTTCTCTATCAAGTGTGACTGGGTTGGTGTTCTCCGTGTTGTATTTGAGGATCTTGCTTTTTCCTTTGTGTATATTGAGGCCTATTCATGCAGAGGCTACTGCTACATTAGTTGTCTTCGTCTGTATTTATTCGTGTGTATGAGATAGGAGGGCTACGTCATCTGCGAAGTCCAAATCATCTAATTGATTCTGAGATGTCCATTGTATTCCGTGCATCCCCTCGGATGTCAAGGTTCACATAATCCAGTCAATCACCAGAAGAAAGAGGAAGGGGGAGAGTAGACAGCCTTGTCTGACTCCGGTCAATGTCCGATATACAAATGAGTAATTTTTCATTAGTTATCACGCAAAATATGACTGAAATATTTAACAAATTGGATGATGTTATCTGAGAAATCCAAAACGATGAGCAAATATCCAGCTAAGAGAAAAGATCCGAGAACCCAATCAATGAAATAACTTTCTCTAGAGGAATAAGTACGACAGACGATCAAAATAGAGAAAACAAACAGAACTGATATGTATCATAGGTAGCCAATTGACAGGAATGATTGCCACATGCTATGACCTAATTAGTAGTATCCGATTAATATGTCTTCAGTCAATTGATGTACTGCTTTCTAACAATTTTGAATGAAGTACATTCCCATAGTGTATCGTAAGTGATAGGGGAATATCGAGATAAAAATCCTGCTCAGTTCTTAGTAGTATGTATTATTGACACTTTCGCTGTTCTATGTTTTTCACGTTCGATAAGGCGCAGACATATATATCTTCCAACAAATACATAGGAATTTTACTGATTATCTTTTAACTGTGATTCATTTTCATTCAAAGTTGAAATGATGTTAAAGATCGTTAGGTCAAACAATGTCTCTAAGCTTAAAGTCAGTTTTTGTTAGAAATATGGGGTTATTGAGGAACAGTTGTAGCAAACGATTACTGTTACTTGTTTGTTGTGCTGAAATGCTAAAATCTTTACTTGACTGTCAGTTTCCGATACTGCTTTTACTTGCAGGTGTCAAATACACAACAAACACACACATTCCAAAGGATTCTTCAATCTAAACTTGTATCTTGCTTCTCAATTGAATCAAAATCATTAATGCTGTCGTAGAAGTGTAATGTTCATTCATTAACGCTTAAGATATTGCTGACTAATTAGATAAAAATAACAACTAAGTACTTAAATATTAATCGGAATTCACAAACTTAGGATTACTTTTTAAGAAAGCTATTCAATTGTTCGAGGCTGCCGCATAATACATAGAAAACTTCTACAGAATCCATAACTCATTTAACACAATTAGAATTAGTTGGGATATTTGACAAATTTCATTAAATCTTTGAACATTGACTATTTATTGTTATTTTATTCGAATCTATAACTTCCCAAAACTTTGAAGCCATTTGTAAATCCGTAGATAACATGAACTACACTACAATTAACGTATTAATCATAGTGCACTGTGCTCTGAATTCAAGATTTCTTAAGTATAAGAGTTAAGCAGTTGATGAAGATAATATCAAAAACGTATAGCATTCAGGAGAAATACAATTATCTCTTATTTTATTTAAAACACATAAATATTGGTACTAGGAGGCACCAGATATATATCCGTAACACAATTGTGTGACGACTATGATACTGTCCGGTTGCCCAAAATGAAACAGGTGGTTTTCTTAGAGGGCCACAATCACAGTCTTCGACCTAAAGGTCTAATCTACAAGGCAGTGGAACAACGTCAGCAGATGCAGTCCCATGGTAACCAATCACCAATATTTGCTTTATACGCCATTTGTTTCATCATGATACTGAGAACCATGTGCACCGATAGTTCAGAATCAAGGTTTTCCAACTCTTCTAGGGTGGATTTTTCTTGTCCACCAATCCGGTTAAAGTGCCAAACATTCGCTTTACTTTCTCTCGCTTTTGTGGACAACACTCCCACCACAAGAAGGCAGTAAGTAGGACTAACCTTTCAGAGGCTTCAGACGCCTCGCCGTGTGAGACCATTTCGAGAGGGAGAAAGAGGACAGTCCCCCCCCCCACCTTCAGCCGTACCTAGGCATTTCGGGGCTTGTTTTTAATGACAGCTTTGAATCAATTTAGTTACATATATGATAATATTCTCTTTAATATTATGATATTTACTTTTTATTCTTTTTAAACACTTTGTTTAGATAATTAAGTTGTATCAGTTAACTACAACATAGGACCAAGCATATATATATATATGCATCGGTTCAAGTTGCCATTAAGTTGTATAACTTCTTTTTTTCTTTCTCAAAAAAAATGTTCATTCATTCATTTTAATAAGTTTAATAAATTTAGGTCAACATTGTAGACAATATGAACAGAATACTAAGGAATGCAATAAATTGATTGATCCATAGATTAGATTATCATTATGTTAATCATTCTATCATATATGAATATGACCTATATATGAATATTATAATTTGATAGATGAACAATAGTAATGAAAGAAGTCATTTCCAAAATATTTGACATGAAGAATACGATATAATTTAAAAAGCTTTTCAAGTTGTCTATAAACTTACAAATAATAGTTCATTCTTCTGAAAGATCAGAATACACGAGTGAGTTGAATTGTCCTAACATATCTTAAACACAAATGAAATAAGAAATCACACAATAATTCCTTAACATGGATATATACTGTGCCCTCAAATGCCCTGGTTAGTCCGAGAGTGTGGTAGAGTCCTCTCTCCCTCTCTAAATGCTCTCACATGGCCATGTGTATATAGCCTCTGTCACACAAGTCCTAATCACTGCCTTCTCATGGTGAGGGTATCATTCACGAAAGTGAGAGGACGAAAAGCGAATGTTCGGCGCTTTAACCGGGTTGGTGGACACAGAAAGTCAATCTAGGGGAGTTCGAAAACCCTCATTCCAAACCAATAGTGCACATGGTCTCTGGTATCCTGAGGGAACAAATGGCGTATGAACCACTTATTGGTCATCTGCTACCAATGGGACTGCATCTCCTCACGATGCTCCACTACCTTGTGGATCAGATATTTAGGTCAAAGGCTCCGGATGTGGCTTTCTAAGAAAACCATCTGCTTTAGTTTGGCCACCTGGGCAGTACCACAGCCCTAACACAAACCAAATGAGATTTGTGTGGTGCATATATATCTGGTGCTCCTTTGTACCAATATTTATGTGTTCAAGCAAATAAATATATGCTGTGTCGCTGAAGCCATAGAACAGCACGCAAATGTGGTCATTCATTAAACCACCAGTCAAGTGATCTGAAGCTTAGGTGTAGAATATTAGTTGATTCTTTGTGAGACTGTGAACGTCTATAGAATGTAGTGGTTGAAAAATGTATTACAAGCCGTCGCTTGTTCTCACTAAGTATACTGAGGGGCATACAACATTCGAATTTTATCTGAAAATATAAGTCAGTAGAATAGAGAACATATTTTCATAACTATACGGAAATCATCTAGATGAATACTAGTATTTCAATAGATGGGGATATTCGAATAAATATCATCAAATATACATTAATTATCTTCAGAAAATTTCTCAACATTATATATGGGGTGGATAGTGTCTAGCAGTGGAATCCAGTTTGCCGTGTGTTTCGTTCTATTCGGGACTCGTCAACTGGATGTACCTGCATCTCAGTGTTGATGTTCATTCTGGGACTCCAAGTCTGTGCCGTTCGCTTAACACGCCATCGCGTTATCCACTTAACTACTGAGTACTGATAGCCACCTGCTTGTGCAATGGAGTGAAGTTTAAATTCACTTGGTGTATGTACATCCAGCTGACGAGCCCCAAATAAAACGAAACATGCGTCAAACTGGATTCCACTGCTAGCCACTACCTATCTTTGCTTATAAAGCTTATGACTTCAGGAAATATCGAGGCAGTCCACACAGGATGCACATATACCAACAAGAGTCTGGTCATTTGCAGTCTTAAACAACAACACCAAGTGAATTATATATGGGAACTTTCATAATTGTATTCTTTTCAATAAATTTTCATCATGTTATATCCAAATGAGTATAATGAATAGTAACTGTTGAAATCTATTTCTCAACTTAACTGCCAGGGTTAGCAAGACCGGTAAAAACTGTTCGTACGGGTTTTATGTGTTATCGGTTCAGTCGATGAATTCACTGTAATCTAACTGGCAGCATCATCATATCATATATTGATAGGTAGTACAAATTCATAAAGTTATAAACACATTAGGTTTTATACATTTATAGTTAAATAAACCTTTTAAACATTACAGTATAATTAGTACATAACTTGGATCAATTTATAGGTCATTCGATATTGTTAAATAAAATGAAAAGAGGAAATAGTATTGTAATTAAAATTTAAATATAATGCAATTATTAAATGAATGTATGAACTCATTAAGTGATAGTAAAGTACAATGGGTGCTAATTAAATTCTTAAATAATAATAATAATAATGAATTCGGTTAAGATATTATTTTTACGTATGCATGTAAATATTAGTACAAAGGGGCATTGAATACATATGCGGTAAACAAGTCATCTGGTTTGCGAGTAGGCTGTGATATTGTCCAGATGTCTAAACCGAAGCAGGTGGTTTTCTTAGAGGGTCATACCGGGAGTAATCGACTGAAAGGTCTGATCCACAAGGTAATAGAGCAACGTTAGGAGATGTAGTCCCATGATAGTCAGTTATTATATAATATACCCTTGTCGGCAAAGGTAGTTTTGCATTGGTTATCAGGAGAACCAGAGATCCTCCAAACTTTCACATGACAACCTAAACAGTACAGCTTAATCCCACTTGCAAGAGAATTAGACACCATCCAGGCTTAAACTTTATAATCCGAGCAAAACAGCTCAACTCCACTTCACAGGAGAACCAGACATCGTTAGTTTGGAATCAGGGTTTTCCAACTCCCTGAGGTGGATCCTCCGTATCCACAAACCCGGTTAAAGCGCCAGACAATTGCTTTTCGTTCTCTCAATTTCGTAAACAACACCCCTATCACGAGAAGGACTTCTGTAGCAGTGGCTGTATATGCGTGGCCATGTGAGGGTATTTCGAGAGGGAGAGCTGACTCACCCCACCCTCGGCCGTACCAGGGCTGGTTAAGATAAACTTGACTTGTGATAATATAAAGACGAAAAATATATGTACATTACTTTAGTGAGGTTGATATATGATTCAAGTGAATATTGATCTTAACCATGGTAAGTGAAGGTGAATGTATTGTTTCTGTGCATAAAGCTCTGGATTTTAACCCGTTTGGGTTCAACATTTTTTGAGTGATTTTACCTAATATCAATGATAACATCTCACTGAAAGTAACACCTCTCAATAATAAGCATATGAACAGAAACTTTTTGTTCACTGTCCGGACATATTTTAGCGTTATTTTTGTGATTAAGTGTTTGCTTATAAATTTAGCTGGGTACTCGTTTACCCCTAGAATATTGCAGAAAGTATTATTTTCTTATTTACTTTTATTTGAAGGGTAAATAACCATTGTAGTATACTGCAGAATCATCACCAGATTTTTATGATATAGAAAAATACAGTACTATTGTTTATCGTTTGTGAGTTATTCTGTGCAAGTGCTTTTCTGATATGGAAAGTCGATCAGAAATAGCCTAATGAGATGGTCAATCGACGGCAATTAGAAGTGACCTGAAGAATAAGTGAATTTGACAGGCTAAGAAACGGATCAGTTTTCTGAAGATTAGAGTGCTATATATATATATATGAGCATTTGTGCATTTTATTTGGTAGCCCAATACACTTTCTTGCTCACTCTTGAGTTCTCGCTCAAGTAGTCAGTTGTCGTTGGGAGGAAGGGGCGGCGGGATAATACATATCACACCGTAAAACAGCATCAGGTTTCGGACACCGTACGTCAGAACAGTTTCCTTCTGTTCAGCATAAGAGTGTCTTTAATATACGTATACTAAATACAATACAATAGGGAGTTCACATCTTCATACCTGTTTGACATTTTGCTTTTTAAGATATTCTCGTAATCTATCTGCAATAAAATCACCCTTTGTATCCAGATAGACAATGGAGACGGTTTTATAATTTCGAAGTACAGAAGCACATACAGAAAGGCAGAACTGAAATAAAAACACATAAAAATAATGATGAGATAAACAGTTTGAGAACACTATACAGTATAATTGTATTATTTTATTATTTAAACACGTAAATATTGGTACAAGGAAGAACCAGATATATATGCGCCACACAAATCTTATTTCATTTGTGTGAGGGCTATGGTACTGCCCAGGTCCTTAAACTGAAACAGGTGGTTATCTCAGGGGTCCACACCCCGAGCCTTCGACCTAAAGATCTGATCCACAAGGCAGTGGAGCGTCGTGAGATGTAGTTCTAGGGTAGCAGATGATCCATAACTGGTTCATACTCCATTTTTTCCCTCAGGATATTGGAGACCATATGCACCATTGGTTTGGAATCAGGGTTTTCCTACTTCCCTATGTGAAGTTTCCGTGTCCATCAACCCGGTTAAAGAGCCGGATATTCGCTTTACGTTCTCTGAATTTCGTAAACAATAGTAAAGCCACGAGAAGGCAGTGAATAGGACTTTCCTATCAGAGGATATATACGCGTGGCCATGTGAGAGCATTTGGAGAAAGAGAGCAGACTCTCCCCATTCTCGGTCGTACCAGGGCATTTGGGGGCTTCATGTACAGTATAATTGAATAGTTGTTAAAAAAAAAGTTATCATTTTGGGGTTGTACATAAGATAAAGAAAGTACACACCTGCGCCATTGTGATCGATTCTGAGCCATGACATCTAGAGTATTCTAGAAATTTCAGGAAAACCCAAGGACTTCTAAAATACTATAAAAACCCTATATTTTCTGTACATAAATGAACCTTTGGAGTAAAGTGCTTCCCGCATATTTTTCGCCTTTTCTCTCGTGTTCAAGTTGCTCTGTAGATTTGCTTGGGGGCTACGAGACCAACTTAAGATCCGAGTATAGCGTTCAATTAACAAGAATTATCATTGAACAAAATTAATTTCTTTATTTTGTTATAAAATAGTATGTTAATCAAGATTACTCGCCTATTCTAGAATTATAAAGAATCGAAGTGTTTTAGTTAGAAGTTTTATTCTGAATATTCTAAAAATTTGTCGGCGGCCTCTGCTCCATTGGAAGTAACAGGCATAAGTTAGTAAGTAAGTAATTCTAAAAACATAAGTACAAACATACAATCAGTATTTACTTGAGTTTTTCCAGTAGCAGATTTACCGATTATTTCTGTAATTTCACCGGTTCTCAAACCTCCATTGAGTAGAATGTCCAAGCTGTTTTTAATATAAATGTGGAACTATATTTGGTTATTAAGGAAAAAAATGTTTTTAAACTTCTATTTTGTCATAAAAAACGATTAAGATTGATTGAGATTAGACAAAGATCAACCAAACCAAAGCAATAAATAAGTTTACCAAGTAATTATGGGTCATTGGGCGGAAACGTCTTGATGAGATTGTGTAATGTTTGATAAAATAAAAACATTCTGGACTGATAACTGCTACTTACTTGCAAATTCTGTTGCAAGTAAGTATCAAACCAAGCTTGCTTCTAGGCTAGCTACCATCCCACCGAAAAGTATAGATGAGCACTGGTTGCAACTGCATGACTGGTTGGAAAAAGCAGAGAGGTGGTCAGTGTATGGCATGGTATGAAAGCTGCAAAGGGCTAACTTCTGTTAGTCCTTCACGACTCCCTGGTTAGGGTCCGAGAGATGGTGCAACACAGTGGCTAGAGACGTTATCAGATATGGCTCAGAATAAAAACCAGTAGCAATCCTGCTGTAACTTTCTTCATAAAAGTGATTATAAGTTCCTTAACTTAAAGAGATCTTCTGGTTGTACGTTTCTGTTTCACCCACTATTATTCTTATTATTACACTAACATACACTAATCTGTGGTTGTTATTGTTCCTTTCTTTTTTCTCTTATATGCACCTAACCTGTTTTTCTCTTTCATTGTCATTGTTTTGTGTGGCGCATATATATCTGGTGCCCCCTTGTACCAATATTTATGTGTTTAAATAAATAAATAAGAATAATAACAATTCCGAAATCACATATTCTTGACTTAATGCAAGTGATTGGAAAAGGATCGAGATGTAGATGAGTTCACTACAATAGGGCAAGCCCGACTACCACATCAAGGTAGCAGCAACGGTCCAGTAAGGTATATAGGATAGTAAATAAATTGAAACTTGTAAGAAATTTGATAGATTACACAATCATTAGTAAAACTGTAGAAAATTCATGTTATGTGGATGAATATTAACAATAGTTATGTAGGAATAGTGAGATAAATAGTAGCGAAACTAATAGATTCACCAAGGTTTTAGCTCGCATTAGCTTATCAACCTGCCAATATCTCCTTCCATCTCTTCTATACATATCAAGAAGACACAAATAAAATTAACAATTTTATTTATCGATATATCTTATCTTACTGGATTCTATGATTCTTGATCTGCTAAAGGATTTTAAAATCAAACAATTAATAATGTGGATAAGTTGAATTTAGACATTCACACCACTGGATGTCGCCTCAGTGGTCTAGAGATTAGGCGTTCGGGAGCGAGACTGATAGGTCTGTGGACGCACACTGTTGAAGAGTCGCATACTAGGACGAAACGGCTGTTCAGTGCTTCCAGGTTTTCTATGATGGTCTAGCTTTAGTTGACTCATGAGTTCAGCTATCAAATTAAGAATGTATTATAATCTCTTCTCGATATACTATATGATGCGTGTAATAAATACAAGTATGATAACATTAACTGCAAAACTTTCATTGATGAACGACCTCCCTATGAGGTTGTTTCTTTAGAATTATACAACAAATACAATGGAACATTTCAATCATACCATTCAAATAAAACTGTGGTACAACATTATGAAGAATTAATACTAACTTTTCAATTCCAGTAGAGAAGCAATAGGAAGATTTTGATTCTTCGAGTAACATTTGAGCTCCATTTATGGATCTAGGACACCAATAGGACATAAGTAAACGTCGAAAGGAACTACATTCCTTTAATGGGGGGAATAACGGTAAATTGTTGAATATTAATTAACCAGCTTCAATAATAATTAAGCTTCATCTATTCAAGATAGTCAATTAATTGGGCAACTGATAGTTCTTTTCAGAACATATTTCTATCAGAATGTCAATTTCAGTAGATCAGCTTAAATCTATTTTGCAGCAGCATCAGCAAAAAGAATTTCAAGCATGATACTTGAAAATGATGGCACAAAAGTTGTCAATTCAAGAAAAATCAGTACAGATGTCCGAATTAAGGGGCTCAACTCAAAAATCACTGATCAATTCAACGAAGGAGTTTCATTTTGATCCTGATGCTGGTGTTTTTACAGTTGAATCATGGTTCAAAAGGTATGAAGACATTTTCCAGGTTGAGTTTCCTCATCATGATGACTCTTTGAAGATGGAAATTTTACTTCATAAACCAGAAGCAGCTGAATATCCAAAATATTCGAACCTTATCTAACCCAAAAACCCTACGATTTCTCTTTATTCTATTGTACAAAACCTAATTAAACTTCTTTTCTTTAATTTGCGATATAATTCTCTTAAAACTATTAAGAGATCTGAAGATGATTTTGTTTCATATGTAGCATTTCTTAATAATACCCAACTGCGTCACAAGACAAGCCCTCACATGGAATCCTGAAGGTCAAAGGAGAAGAGGAAGACCAAAGAACACATTACGCCGAGAAATGGAGACAGACATGAGAATGAACGAAAAATGGATAGAACTAAAAAGGAAGGCCCAGGACAGAGTGGGTTGGAGAATGCTGGTCGGCGACTTATGCTCCACTGAGGGTAACAGGAGTAAGTAAGTTTTTCTTAATAATCAATGCGAGTATATCAGGTTACATATACTTCGAGACGAAGAACTTAAGTGCGTTACGTTTGTATACGGATTACAATCACCTTCAGACTCAGATATCCGTACTATAATATTAAGCAGAGTTGAGTCGGATTTCAATCTTGTCAGATTATTAATCTTAAAAATGACACTAAAATGATAGAGCGTCCAAATCCCAATTCATTTGACCTGATGTAAATTTCTCATTCAGATAGTACCATTAATGTCACAAAGCATGATTCGCGAAATTTTCCTCGCCCAAATCTAATGTATAATGTCCATGACCCTAGTTCATGTCTCTCAACAAGGCCTCCCACTAGATGTTAAAACTGTGGGGCATGGCATTTCGCAAGTTCCTACCCATTCAATAACCATAAATGCGCAAAATGTGGAGTAACTGACCATAAGGAGGAATTTTGCAAACGCAGGAAACCCTCACCACATAATCGAATGTTAAATAAAATCAATTCTGTACATGTTTTATCGAAATCCAACCCTAAATGTTTACACAAATATGTGTCCATTAATGTTAATGATTGTATTATCACACTGCACTTAGATACTGCATACAATGTTGTTTCGATTTCTCGCAAAACTTGATCGGCCGAGCATCCATCCTATTAATGATTGTATAAACAATGCATTGGGCATTTCAATAGACATTTCTGGAATCGTCAAATATACAGTTAAATTTAATGATCTGATAATCAAATCTAGATGTTATATTACCGACGAATCTTTCGATCTATTAATTTGGCCTCGACTAGATCACAGATTTAAAAATGTCCGATCAGTCATCTGATCTTATTTGTAATCAAGTATATTCCTATTTTCAAATGATGCACAAATGGATGCAGAAGTTTCTAGTGATTTTTAGAATTATCACAAGGGGAGAGAAAGGTACAGGAAACCACCCGGAATAATTCTGCACACAGACTCACTCAAAGATGTATCGCCAGCCTAATCAATGTTTGAAAGAGAGACTCGGACATCACGTGACGCTGTGTACCAACAGAGAAGAAAGCCAGATTATAAACCCGAGGTGAGGAGAACTGAACGTTGTTTCCCTCAACGCCAAATGAGAAGGATTAATTTTTTCAAGACGGAAAGGTGATATAATCATCCATTCAGAAGTAGCCAAGTGGGGCCACTTGATGGTAATCAAAGATGACATATCATTGGCTAAGAAGTGGATTAACTTTTTAAGGGCTGGAAATATATATATATATATATATATTTTTTGTTCGGTAGCCCAAAAGACTTTCTCTTTCACTCTTGTCTTCTTGCTTAAGTAATCAATTTGGGGTTTAGAGCGCAGTACATTGCGTATCAGTATCAGATCTCGGATACCGCCTATCATAACAATAATCAACTTGGGTGATTTTGAATATAAGTATGGTTCAACAGACCCTGGCTTGACATATTATAGTGACGTAATTCTTCAGCAACAAAGAGACGATTCCTGAAAGTGCAAGGACCCGTTTGTTTTTATCAACCTTGCACTTTTAAAACAGAACTGAAGGAAACAGAAGTACACAGAACTAAAAATCGTGTTATTTATTTACCCGGGCATTTCTAACCCTTCATTCTGTTTTTAGGAATTACTTTACCTCAGATACCTCTCGAGGACGTTTTCAGTACGATTTTGGTGTTTATTGACCATGAGACTTCTTACTACTTGTCTGAACCATCTACACAGAACTATCTATAAAGTTTTGGTCCATAGGACTAATCATAACATATTTAAACCTGACGCTGACAGTATTATTTATTTAAACACATAAACATTGATACAAGAAGGCACCAAATACAAATATATATGTGACGGCTGGAATACCTCCCAGGCGCCCAAACCGCAGATAGTAGTCTAATGATTGGAACACAAAGTAACATACAGTTCCAAGAAAAAAAACTTTATGAACTGACAGCACTTCTTGAAGTATCGAATATTAACCTACGTTTATTTTACTCATCTTTGTAAGATGGGAAATGGACATGTCTTAAACACACTGATCAACAAACTCCTGCTTAACCTTTATCAATTAACACTCAAAATGTTTGCTGTACTCTCAAAGCAAAGCACCAATTAATAGAAGGTTATAACTCAACTAACTTCTAAATAATTTGTTAGGTCAAGTCTAAAATGAGCAAATAGATAATGAAAAACGAGCAACAACTGAACAATGGCTATTAGTTTAGTTTAGATTAGATTGTATAACTGACAGAGAAACATAACTTGTGAGGTTAAACAAGATAAGATACACTGAATGACGTCATGTAGTGACGACTGAAATAAATCATTTACAAACCTGGAAATATGGATGTTACATTAAAGGGAGTTTTCTCTTCAGTCATTTAGCTATCTACCGAGGACTTTCCAAAATTAATTCATCGCCTTATAAGTTTTTCAACTTATTCAAGTTAACTAAAACTATTAAACAGTGCGCATCCACGATCCCACACTTGCGAGATTCGAACCCAGGACATACCAGCCTCGTGCAAGAGCATTCGACCAATAGACCATTGAAGTTAGACATTAACACCGGTGGATGCCGGCTCACTTGTTTATTGATCAAGTGGTCTAGCGCGAGACTGGTAGGTCCTGGGTTCGAATCTCGCAAGTGTGGGATCGTGGATGCGCACTGCTGAGGAGTCCCATAATAGGACGAAACGGCCGTCTAGTGCTTCCAGGTTTTCCATGGTGGTCTAACTTCAATTGACTCACGCTTTCAACTATGAAAATACTAAATCTCCACAAAACCGCTTCTGATAATAATAAAACTACCAACTCTTAGAATAAGTACTAATAGCTTTCGACTTACCTTCGTGTCATATATATTATTTAATCTAGACCAATTATTTGCATGATTGTAATTGGTTAGTGAAGATTTGTTTTTCTCCAAACCTATATTACTATTCATAGTAAAAGTAGTAGAAGGATTTGCATAATTTTTAGAGGTTGATAAGTTATTTTGAGTTGATGATGAATTAGTATCTGATAGTAATAATAATGGTAATAATGGTAGGTTAGTAAAACGGGATCTTTGCAGAAGATGAATTTTTGAAGCCATCAACTCAACTGATTCTTCATCAGTCATGATAAGCAATTAATAATTGAAAAGTCAAAATGATGTACAGAAAAAGAAACCTAAGAAAATAAACAACAAGTGTAGAACAATTATACGATGAATATGTTGAATGTTAATTATCTGATAACTAATACTAGTAACTCGGTATTATTAGAACACTTCAAAATTTAAAAAGAATGTATTAATTATCGGATACTACTATGAGACCATCTGTTGCAGCTATGCCGAGATAACCGCCTGTTCCTTGCAAATATTAACTTTAAGCATAAGGTAAAACATCTGACATGACAACCCCCGAATTCTTCCCAACGTTGGATCCAACTAGATCACATCGCTATCAGCCACCGATGGAAAGGCTAGATAGAGAACTGTCGCTCATTCTGGAGCACATGTTTAGGTTGAGATCGTGCTCTAGTGCGAGCACATATCTGTCTGCATTTTACTAGAAAGCTAGGGGCGGTCAGACCGAAACGTATCACAAATCCATGAAGTCACTGACAAGTGAACTGAGCCATGTTGGTAGGTCTAGACTACCTGATTGGGATCCGCGAGATGATAGCAATCGATGGTTAGAGACCTTGAATGACATGGCTCAAAATCGTTTGCAATGGCGAAGGTGCATCCACTCTTTGTGTACTGCCAAACTATAATCTTCTTATTTCTTCATGTCTTCATCATTTTTCTCTTTCAAAATTTATTTTACTGCATTATACTCCTTGAATAACATCTACAAACCCTAATCTTTCCAACTACTGGTTATACTCTCAATACTTCTACTACTATGGAATTTGAATCGACAACTGCATCTCTGTGCTAATGTGGTATGGCAACTCGAACTGATGTACGTACGTACGACGTTCTACGCTGTGACTGACTGACTACTAGGAGTTATTGCGGGAGAGGGCAAACCAGCTTTCAACTGAAGAAGAAATTAGGAAAAGACATTAGAAGTGGACATGACATACAATGAGGAAATCACCAAACTGCATCACGAGGCAAGCCCTAACTTGGAAGGAAAGCGGAGACGAGGAAGGCCAAAGTACATATTATGTCGGGAAATAGAAGCAGATATGAAAAGGATGAATAACTGGAAAGGATTGCCCAGGACAGTGTTGGGTGGTGAGCGCTGGTGGGCGGCCTACGCTCCTCCACGATGAGTAATAGGCGTAAGTATGTCAGTCAGCGACAACGTAGGACCAGGCACATATATGCATCGGTTCAAGTTGTCATACCTCGTTAGCGGATTCATAGAAGTAATTAAATTAGTGGTGGTAATATATAAAGAAAGGTTGTATATAAGGATATAGTATAGGAAGGAAAAAAGTTATGAGGCAATTTTAATTTCAAGGTTTAAGGGAAGATAAAGAATGTATACACCTACGCCATTGAGATCGACTCTGAGCCATGTCACACAGAGTCTCCAACCATTGGTTAAGATAGTCACGTGGACCCCAACCAGGTAGTCTGCATCTACCAACATGGCTCAGACTAGAAGTTAGTGACTTTGTGGACTGGTGCCACGTTTTGGTTTGACCTCTCTTAATTTTCTTCCAACCATCCCCTACACTAGTCAACTCCAGACCAGTCCTGGAGTAACAATTTACATTTGGATGGGTGTAAGTATGTAAGTTTTAGAAGTTATAGTTTGCTCTTAGAAAATATCGTAAAATATTTACAAGTGTGGCTCTTAACATAAACGGATAAAATTAACAATCTAACAGATACCAGTTCCGAAACCCACGTATATGGATTTCAGTGTTAACCTGTAAACAGATAATTAAAATTTGAGTGACAGAGCAAACAATGGACTTAATTAATCTACGAAAGGAGGTTTAGATTACTGTTAGGAAACCAAATCACGGGTGGCAAGTTTTGGCATACATTGTTATCGACTTAGTTTCTCTCATGCTTACTGTTTAAATAGAATTCATCTCAATTTTGTCGGAGATCATTATTAAACCGTTCAAATTACAAGCTATGTTAAGAATGATCGGTAATTATACAGAATTTGTATGCTGATCATTGATATAGTGGAATATGCATGCAACCTATTTTAGCTCTTCGTAAGTACTAGGATTTTCAAACTTCAATTTCATAAACTTTCACGTCATGGAAGCCGTATATTTCGTTAATATACATATATATGATGAAGCTAGCTTTTCAAGTCTTAGATCAAAAGATTAATAATTGGCCCGATCTATTGTACCTAGAGCAGCTTAGAGGTATCACTAACCATTATGTGCTGTGACTCGTATACTATAACAAAAACACCGGCAATTTATCACTGAATTCCACCAATGAATTAGTATTTAGTGATTGTTATGTATAAACTTACATAAGTTCTAACGTAATCATTAGTGTAATTCGATTTACCAACCCTTTATCGTAAAAAAACTTACACCTTTCCAATGAAAACTTTAAAAATACTGAATACAACAGTTGATTTCATTTTAATACAAAAGCAATGAAACTTTGCATGGAATCTTCCTAACTTGTTAGTTTCTGGATTAATTCCCCCAAATGCCCTGGTAAGTCTGCTACTCTCTCCAAATGCTCTCACATGGCCACGCGTAAATAGCTCCTGCATGAGATATGTAAGTTTAGTATTGAAAAGACATGACAACCAATGAAAGTAGTATGACTTGAACCAAGACATGAGAAGGATATATATTGGAGGTAACAGTTTCCTATGAAAAGTACAGGGTTGTTAGGATGATCAAATGGACTCTTTGCTACATACTGAGTTACTTAGGTATATATGCCACTTAATACTAGTAAAGTGTGAAAAGAAAGTGCTAATGGATAATAAAACTTAAAAAGAAACTTGACTGTCTAGAAGCAATTGTTGTTTATGACTAATTTTTAGTTTAATAACCGTAGACTAAATCCCTTCGATATTTAAAAAAATATGGTCATGTTGAAGTTGTTTAATAAACTTTTCCCCCAAATGCCCTGGTACTGCCGAGAATGGAGAGAATCCGCTCTCCCACTCCAAACGCTCTCACATGGCCACGCGTATATAGCCTCTGTCACACAAGTCCTACTCACTGTCTTCTCGTGACATTACTGTTGTTTACGAAATTAAGAGAACGAAAAGCGAATATCCAACGCTATAACCGGGTTGGTGAACACAGAGGGCCCACCTCGGGGAGTTGGAAAACCCTCATTCCAAACCAATGGTGCACATCGGCTCCAGTACCTGAGGGAACAAATGGCGTATGAATCAATCGTTAGTCACCGACTATCATTGGACTGTATCTCCTCACGATGCTCCACTGCTTTGTGGATCAGATCTTTAGGTCAACTGCTCCGAATGTGCCCCCTAAGAAAGTCACCTGCATCAGTTTGGGCACCTGGGAAGTAACATAGCCCTCACAAATCAAATGAGATTTGTGTGGCGCATATATGTATGTGGCGCCCCTTTGTACCAATATTCATATGTTTAAATAAATTAAAAAAATTTATTTGAAAATATGTCAATCAACTTTATTCAGTCGTCATGACAGTAAACACTGACTTCAAAATTAACTTAAAAATTAAGTCAATAGTACTTTGGTCAACATTCAGAAATAGACAGTATGGTGTAGATTACGTGACACTAAAATATAAATTAGATCCAACAGTGATTATTAATATTGTGGTGTGTGCTACTGTATTTATTTATTTAAACACATAAATATTGAAACACAATTATATGAACGAAGAATATTCTTTTCAATAATTTCTCATCAAGTTCTACAATTATATATAAAATTAAATTGATGTACTCCGCCTTAAACTTGGCCAATCTTCTTTTATGGATTATTAATTTATAATTGTAGAGTACCCGATGAGAAATTATTGAAAAGAATATTCTTCGTTCATATAAATGTGTTTTAATATGATGGGAATTTTTCAGCGACATAAATATTGGCACTAAGAGGCACCAGATATATATGCGCCACATAAATGTCATTTGGTTCATACACCACTTGTTCCCTCAGAATACTAGAGTCCATGTGCACCATCGGTTTGGAATCACGGTTTTCCAACTCCCCTAAGTGGACTTTCCGTGTCTACCAACCCGGTTAAAGCGCCGGACATTCGCTTTTTGTCCTCTCGATTTCGTAAACAACAGTAATGCCACGAGAAGGTAGTGAGTAGGACTTCCCTGTCAGAGGCTGTATACGCGTGACTGTGTGAGAGCATTTCGAGAGAGAGGGCGGACTCACACCACTCTCGGCCGTACCAGGGCATTTGAGGGCAGTGTATTGGATTTCCTTGTCTGATTCATTCTCTAAATGAAAAATTACAGTTTAATGAAACAAGTTGGCTTTTCACAAAGAAATGATTCAGTCAGTTCACTTAATCAATTTTTTGACTGTTAGTAGTTGTGCTGAAAAGAGAAATCAGCTCAAACTTTCTAAAAACTTTGAGAAAATCTGTGATCTTATTTATTTACTTTAACACATGAATATTGGTACAAGGGGGTTGTAATACTAATATCTTAGAAGAAATCACCAAACTTTAAATGATTTTCTTCGCTATGTAGAAATATGATTAATCTAAGTTTGTTACAAGCAAGTGTTTCTTCAGAAAACCTTGTAGATAACCTCTTTCAATCAACATACTATGTATGAGCTCACATTCCTTGTTAATTATATCGACCGAGCAGATCTTCCTAGCTCTATTTCCCAGACATTTGACTAAGTTTCTCTTATATGTCTGACAAATAGAGTTAAGAAGATATGCTCGTTCGATACAATTAACAAGGAGTTAGATCTCATACATAACCTAACTTTGAATATAAACTTAATTCTAGCTTCATGTTTATATGAAGCAACTTCTTAAAAAACTTATTTCACTTTTACCATACCCAAAGGTTAGATCAAACTTATTTACTTGAACATAACTCCTTAATGATCATTGAAAATTATGATGGGTATTTACGAATTTACTTAAATGAAATCAAGAAGAAAAGGGTAAATGACCAAATAATTTTAAAGGAATTGAAATTCACTGAAAAAAACATCGGGAATATTTAATGCTAGTGATAAAACCTTCATAAGGTACACATCGTCTTGAAAACGTAAGTACAAACAAAACAACAAGAACGAATATTTTCAAAGGGGATTGAGTTACACGACGGCAATCATAGATGTAACAGTGCTTCTAACTATAGGTAAAAGCTGTGCATATTATTCACCACTAGTTACAAACAGAATGAAATTCAGTCAGACATCCATAGTAGTTTGATGTCATCAAGATTACAGGTTTGTTTTTGAGAGATTCATTTATTTGAACACATAAATACTGGTACAAAGGGGTAACGAACAAATATGCGCCACACAAGTCACTTGATTTGTGTTTAGGATGTGATACTTTCCGGGTGCCCAAACCGAAACAGGTGATTTTCTTAGAGGGCAACGTGTGGAGCCTTCGACCTAAAAATCTGATCCACAAGGCAGTGGAGAATCGTAAGGAGATGCAGTCCCATGATAACCAGTGACCAACGATTGATTCATATGTCATTTGTTCTCTTAGAATTCTGGAGCCCATGTGAACCAATGGTTTGGAATCAAGGTTTTCCAAATCCCCTAGGTGAACCCTCTGTATTCACAACCCAGTTAAAGCACTGGGCATTCACTTTTGATCCTCACAATTTCGTGAAGGTAGTGAGTAAGACATTCCTGGTAGTGGCTCTTTACACATTGCCATGTGAAAGTATTTCGAGAGGGATAGCTAATTCTCTCCACCCTCTGTTGTACCAGAGCATTCAGGAGGCTTCCGACAGATTACAGGTAATAATACTAATTACATGTATACAAACAACAGAATATATTACAAAAGATTCTTTTAAAGAAGAGTATTGGATTTTCTTTTTTTTTTTAAAAAAAACGAGAAAAACAATCAAACCAAATCAAAGCAAACCAAATCTAATCAAGCTTATAAGCAAATCAATTATTTTTCTATTACAAAAAAAAAACAAAACAAACAAGCAACATTTGAAATATTTGGCAATGAATATAAAGAGATAGATAATTCATTATGGAATATATTTTAATTAACAAAATACATAAGGGGTTCATGGAACAAGACTAGATAGTAGTAGTACATATGTGGAAAGTATAATAAAGAAAGAAAAAATCTCAAATCGATTATCATAACAAGAACTCTTATATATCAAATGTAATGGTACAAAAATTGAACAAAGACAATTTTTTTGAGAGGGGGGGGGAGGAGAAGTTATGAAAACAAATCCTTTCTAGTTTGTGTCTTATAGCGTCATTTGGGAGATTCAAGATTATTGTTGTTGTTATTACAAAGGGACATGATTAAATAGATAAGAAACAGATTCACCATTATGTGTTCGACGGATAGCTTCAGCCAACATAGTACTTACATCAATACACTTGAAGAGAAGAACAAAAAGAAGAAAAACGAGTGTTTCTTTAAATAAAAGAGATTGACTTTAAACAATTTATACTTTATACTGATTACTGATTTTATGGAATAGAACAAATTTTTGAAGCTTGCAAAAAAACATAAGTATTTTAAAAGATTTTCTCACTTTTAAGTTATTAAACATGGAGTTTTAACAGTTGTATGATCCCACAAATACTAGACATCTACTCTATTTCACGATTTTTGGTTCTTATGTGAAGTGTAGTGTAGTACTATGCGCTATGCTGACTAGTATTGGAGATGGTTGGAAGAAAGTTAAGAGAGGTCAAGCCAAAACGTGGCACCAGTTCACAAAGTCACTAATTTCTACTATGAGCCATGTTGGTAGATGCACACTACCTAGTTGGGGTCCGCGTGACTATCGTAATCAATGGTTGGAGACTCTGTGTGTTATAGCTCAGAATTGATCACGATGGCGTAGGTGTATACACTCTTCTTCTTCCCATAAACTATAAGATTAAAATTGCTTTATATCTGTCTTTCTTCCTCTACTATATCCTTATATACAATCTTTCTTTTATATATTACCACCATTAAATTAACTACTTTTATGTATTTGACGTTGATCTTGCTGTGCTAATGAGTGAGGTAATGGCAACTTGGACAGATGCATATGTGTGCCTGGTCCTACGTTGTAATACTATCCCAACTATGCAAGGCTTTCCATTGTTTGTCTACGATCGAATCTTAACTTTTGTCATTAGATTAAAAACTCAATCATTAACTTTCACTAAATAAATTTAACTTGCATCCATATACGTAAACGTTTATGAAGTTAGTCATTGTTTTTTTTATATTCATGGGAACATTCACATTCCTAACCTTTTGATAGAATGGAGAACTGCTCAAACGTTTGTAGCATCTACTTTTCAACCATATAAATATTGCAATAAGAGTTCTTGTTTTTAATTTGTTTGGAAGAGATGTGAATTTGTACAGTATTACGAAAGGCTTAAAATGTATCATATAGCTAAACATTGAAAATTTCAAAGCGAAACAGTCAGTCAGTCAGCTATAACGTAGGACCAGGCACATATATGCATCGGTTCAAGTTGCCATACCTCGTTAGCACAACAAGATGAACACCGGATTCATAGAAATAGTTAATTTAGTGGTTGTAGTATATAAAAGATAGGTTGTATAGTATAGGAAGGAAGAAAGATATGAAGCAATTTTAATTTCAAGGTTTAAGGGAAGATAAAGAGTGTATACACCTACGCCATTGTGATCGATTCTGAACCATGACACTTAGAGTCTACAACCATTGATTACGATAGCACGCGGACCTCAACCAATTAGTCTGCATCTGCCAACATGGCTCAGATTAGAAGTTAGTGACTTCAAGCATTGATGCCATGTTTTGGTTTGGCCGCCCCTAACTCTCTTCCAACCATCCCCTACACTAGTCAGCATTGTGCGTCGTGGTAATCGGTGTTCAGGCATACGTAACACGTGGCCCAACCATCTCAGTCGATGAAGATTCACAAACTCATCGACTGATTTACCATCATTCCCTAATACCCTGCCGTCTAACCTCACTATTACTTACCCGGTGATCCCAGCAGATGAGAGCAATATTTCTAGGACATCTGTGGTCAAATACTAGTAACTTACGAGTATCCTTTACTCTTAATGGTCACGTTAACTTTAATCGGTTCCACTTTTTGATCAACTACCTATCGTATTCTTATGAAAATCAAATCCTACGGTTCTATACAGACATTCGATAAATAATTATCAAACGCAAGTGAGTATACTTGTATCAGTTTTTTCTTTGATACTTTACTACTGTCGGAGCAACGCTCTTGAAGGTGGACCACTTGGGAGGACTTTTACTATATATGTTTATCTACAACTTTGAAATACTGTGATGGACCTGAAAATCATTTGGTTTTAAGATTGAACGCAGATCATTATTCAAAGGGCAATAGATAAGGAATGTGGATAGTGAATATATATTATCCAAACCAACGCGCCGCCTAATACAAGACAGAATGTTGACCACAACTGGAGTACGTGAGAAAAAGATTGAGTAAGAAGTCTAGATATGATCAAAACTCTAAAGCTACTGACTGTTGCATAAGAGCGAATAGGACATCATAATATAGATCCGTGAGAGATCGGAAACCAATATTTAGAGAGCTTTGGTACGACTTAAAATCAGGGACAGAGATAATAATCAAGTGGTCCTTTAATTTTTTCAATCTTAAATAATTAGGCACAAGTTCATGCACTAGACTTTCAGTCAGAATTTGCATAGAGGCTAGTGATACTACTACTAGGTAGATAGATATAAGTGGATTCGAATCTGCGACCTATTGATTGAAGCAGAGAGCTTCGACAACTAGGCCAGCATTCCATTTTCATTCAGATAAAAAAACACGAGTAGTAATTCTTTAGCTTAAATGTTTGCTATCTACTTATAGTCTTGAAGTTCAATCCAAAGAAAACTAGCTTTTATTAAGCAGTTTGTGAACGAAAGATTTTTGTTAGTTTTCATTAAAAATTAAGCAGTAGTATAGTAGATTATATCTTCTAAACACCTTGAAACTAGTCTAAAGATTATTAGTTTGTTTGAACTTCGAATGAATTGACTTGGGAGTTTACTGCTTTTAGAAAAGATCCCAATTCCAATGAGGGATCTCCAAGTCTAGATAGAAGTATTCTCAGATATTACTGAATTTAATCAACTAGTTAGTTGAAATCTCAATACATTAGTGTCAATTTCAGAATTTCCATACCTGAATTTTAGGAGCTTTCCGCATATTTTCTTCTTGTGGCAAAGTATTTGTTACAACGACAGCTTCAAAAGCTGACTTATTAATTCTCTCCAAAGCTGGACCTGAAAATATACCATGAGTACAGATAGCGTAAACACGCTCAGCGCCAGCTTCAATCAATCTGTAATTTCAGAAACATAATAAATATTATAAATATCACGAGACAGAAAACATAAGGTTTAATAGTAGCAATCAATAATAAAGAATGTTCAAAATATAATTACAGTATTCACTCATGAGAAGGGTACTATAGCTGACTTTCATAAAGTGAATATCAATAACAGTCTAATTTAGGAGGAATCTGTATGGCGATTCTTAAGTCACACTACTATTACTACTTACAATATTACAATTTCTTCCTAAGAATACATGATTTAAGCTGCCACATTTTTTTAATAAAGTAAAAGATATTCGGAAATGATAAACAGTCATTTGTGTGTCGTTCTTATATGGCATCATGTTAGTTACGTGCGGTAGGAGACGATTGGCCCTGGTACGGCCGAGAGTGGGGAGAGTCACCTCTCCCTATCCAAATGCTCTCACATGGCCAGCGAATATACAGCCTCGCCAGTGAAGTCCTATTCACTGCCTTCTCGCGGCATTACTGTCGTTTACGAAATTGAGAGGATGAAAAGCGAATGTCCGGCGCTTTAACCGGGTTGGTGGACATGGAGGGTCCATCTAGGGGAGTTGGAAAACCCTCATTCCAAACCAAGGGATGCACATCGGCTCCAGTATCCTGAGGGAACAAATGGCGTACGAATCAACCGTTGATCACCGGCTACCATGGGATTGCATCTCCTCACGATGCTCCACTGCCTTGTGGATCAGACATTTAGGTCAAAGGCTCCGAGTGTGGCCCCCTAAGAAAACCACTTGTTTCAGTTTGGGAACCTGAGTAGTATCACAGCCCTCACAAAAATCTCATTTGATTTGTGTGTTGCATATGTATCTGGTGCTTCCTTGTACCAGTATTCATGTGTTTAAATAAATAAATAAATTCAACAAGTACAAATCTATGTACTTAGCTTTGAGCAACAATTAAGGTGTGACGGTTACTAATATCCGGGTGTCCAAATTGAAATAGACAGAGTGGGATTTGGACTTGTAACCAAGGGACCATAAGTCGAAGGGGATAACTATTAGGTCACTACAACTACTTTGGAATAATCGGTAATAATAACATATGACAGATGAATTGGAATGTCTTGATCTCAACCAACGGTTGGAATCCCTAGTGCCACTTAAGTCGACGCAGCTGAAAACAGTATTAGGTTATTTAATGAAAGGCTCAAATGGATGAATTGTACCCAAATTTCGAACTGTTTTAGCAAAAAAAGCTGAGATCGGTTTCTTAGTTCCATTCGGGAAATTTCAACCCACAGATAAAGACAAAAGTTATGTCAGAGACTGGAAAGCTTCTAAAAACGTTACCAATCACTAAAATTGACAACCATCTCTATGATTCTGTGTTCGGTGTGATCCTAATATTACTGCATCTTATGAACAGAACATTAGGCACTTATCAAGTTAGGAAATAAAGATCAACCTACATACCATAGAAATATACATTGAATGAGAAACGAATACTTATAGATGGTCGCGGAAATAGATTTTAGTATGACAAAGTGGATACACCACGAAAACATAACACTGGCAACACAGTATACAAATTAATTATATAGTAAGTTTACTAGGAAAATATTTAAAATAAAATTGTTCATTACTTGTCAGCCGCAGTGCATATTGTTCCACATGTATCTGCCATATCATCGACCAGGATAGCAACACGGTTATTTACATCTCCAACAAGAACCATACGATCTACTTCGTTTGCACGTTTTCGTTCTTTATGAATCAAGGCAAAATCAACATTTAACTGATCTGCAATTGAAGTTACTCTGAAAAAAAAGAATCAAAGAATAAAATGAAAATCGAAAAGAGTGAACTAAGAAAATCAAGCCGACTGAATAAAATATTCATAAAATATGTAAGTAGAAAATAATAAAAGGTGAGTCTTGAAGTTAGAATGACCGTTAAAGTTTTAACTGTTTGAGGTACTGGGAAGAAGCTTAGTCAGCCATTTGATTTCACGGGTGAGATTTCTGAAACAGTGCCAATTTGAGGATCTGGAAAGAATGTGAGAATCAGATCTCCTGAAAACAGCGCCATCGATTATTTGGGTGGAACTATGCTCTGAGATTATCAGTTAGTGAACATAGTATTTAGACCTTTACTGGCCTCAGTATAATTGATACGAACATGCATATGATTTCTACCATAAAAATTATATGTACTTTTACGGGCACGTGAGCTAGAACTCACTATTTTTAATGTGGTTGGAAGTAGTTAAGACGTCTGGGTGCCTGAATAGATATCTGGTGTGACAGATTACATCTGTGTGTAGTGGGAGACATAGCATTTTGTTTAAATTAGGGGTAACTTAGGAGTGGTTTCAGAGTTAATCTGTTCACAAACATTTAGGCGTCAGTAAGTAATCCTGACATCAAGGAGCATGCGACCAGAAGTGTTGATAATTTCGTATGTTAACACCTTGAAACACCGAGTTGGATGGCTTGTTCAGATTTTAACCATTTTGTTTCAGTGGTTTTTATCCTGTGCCTTACTTCCCAACTCTGAAGCTGAGTGCAATAAAAAGAGGTGGTCATTTTAACTGAATATATCACCAGTAAGTGTAGCACACATAAAAACTAATGCAGTGGTATGACTTACTTAAATAAAAGTTGTTTAAATCCCAAAATAAAGTAACCACTAGCCTATTTATAGACAGACTGTATGAACTTCATAATTGATAACAAGTTACTAAATGATATTTTAATATTAATGTTATTATGTTAGCATAAACTGAGACAAATTATGGACTGCAACTTAATGCCTTGGTACGGCCGAGAGTGGGGAGAGTCACCTCTCCCTATCCAAATGCTCTCACATGGCCAGCGAATATACAGCCTCGCCAGTGAAGTCCTATTCACTGCCTTCTCGCGGCATTACTGTCGTTTACGAAATTGAGAGGATGAAAAGCGAATGTCCGGCGCTTTAACCGGGTTGGTGGACATGGAGGGTCCATCTAGGGGAGTTGGAAAACCCTCATTCCAAACCAGTGGTGCACATGGGCTCCAGTACCTGAGGGAACAAATGGCGTACGAATCAACCGTTGATCACCGGCTACCATGGGATTGCATCTCCTCACGATGCTCCACTGCCTTGTGGATCAGACATTTAGGTCAAAGGCTCCGAGTGTGGCCCCCTAAGAAAACCACCTGTTTCAGTTTGGGCACCTGAGTAGTATCACAGCCCTCACACAAATCGAATGAGATTTGTGAGGCGCATATATATCTGGTGCTTCCTTGTACCAATATTTATGTGTTTAAATAAATAAATAAATAATAAATTATTAGATGTGAAACTGGATGTGTTTGTTTACTCAGACTCCAACGTAAGAATTCCTTGTAAGCTCAGAAACGAGTATGTATTTATATTCAAGATATTTAGCTTAGAACTGATATGTTTAAGGTGATTTTTTGTGTGTAGATAGTTTGACTTGAGGAAACTATGACGAAAGACTCTGTGTGTTGGGTTTTCTGGTGGTAGTTATGACATGGACTTCTTTTCACCATGGGGACTGTGAAAAGTTAGACTTGACTTCTTACTTACATACGCCTGTTACCACTCATGGAGCATGAGCCATCAACAAGAGATCTTCAATTCTTCCTGTTCTGGGTACTTCTTTACAGTTGTTCTCAAGTCCTATCCATTATTTTAATATCTGCTTCCGATTCCCGGTGCAATATGTTCTCTGATCTTTCTCTTTTTCTCTCGCACTCAGGATTCCAAGTTAGGGCTTGCCTCGCGGTGAAGTTAGATGAATTCCGCAATACACGTCCTATCCACCTCCAACGTCCTTTAATAATTTCCTGCTCAGCTGGTAGCCGGTTTGGTTGCTGCCGGAGATTCACAAGATAGTAAACTGTGACTACCACGATTTATCAATCAATTTACCCCTTGAGGACCTATTATTTGATTCTGGAAATGCTTTTCAATTCCTCAAGATGAACTTGTTTCTGTCAGTTTGATTCTATTTTCAAGTAGCCATCTTTATCCTATTAAATCTCACTTAAAAAAGCAGTGAATATCTTCTTTATCGGAAGTTGTGTACTAAAGATTAGCATGCACCAGAAGTTTGAAAGGTACAGCGGATTGGTTTGTTTAGATATCTATACCACTCATCCTTAATAACTAACCTGGTTTTCTCTATCTTTAACAACAATTGAACTCCGCCTGTAGCTCTTCTACAGTTACTGCCGGTCCCAAGCCCGGGTAAAGGAGGAGGGTTGGGCATGGGGTTAGCGACCCCATCCCGTACAAAAGCTAACTCGCTAAAAAAACACTAACCAGAAAAAATAATTCAAACCATTTAAACTCTGCCCTCCAAGTTGAACGAATAATTATGACGTCTCATGATGAAAGCCGAAATTCTTCGGAAGTCACGAGACCGATGCACCTTCTAACAACCAGAGCAACACTCTTTATAGGTACATGGAACGTCCGGACAATGTGGGAGACAGGAAAGACCAGCCAAATAGCAATGGAAATTAGGAGATACAAATTGGCAGTACTCGGAATCAGCGAAACCCATTGGACACAAACTGGACAACAAAGGCTAGGTACAGGAGAGATGCTGCTGTACTCCGGTCACGAAGGGCAAAATGCTCCACACACTCAGGGAGTTGCTCTAATGCTGTCCAAAGAAGTACGAAATGCACTTGTGGGATGGGAATCTCATGGACCCAGAATAATCAAAGCATCATTCAGAACAAAGAAGCAAGGGATCACAATGAACGTTATCCAATGTTATGCACCCACCAATGATAGCAACGACGATGATAAAGATCAGTTCTATGAAAGGCTGCAATAAATTATAGAGAAGTGCTCACGAAAGGACCTCACAATCCTGATGGCAGATCTAAATGCTAAAGTTGCAGTGGACAACACAAGATATGAAGATATAATCGGACGATATGGACTAGGAGAAAGAAATGAAAATGGGGAGAGACTTGCAAACCTATGTGCTTTCAACAAATCGGTTATAGGCGGCACAATATTCCCACACAAACGCATACACAAAGCTACATGGATCTCACCGGACCACACCACAGAGAACCAGATAGATCACATCTGTATCAACAACAAATTCCGAAGATCAATGGAAGATGTGAGAACCCGGAGAGGAGCTGACATAGCTTCAGATCACCACCTGGTTGTGGCCAAGATGAGACTGAAGCTTAAGAAAGACTGGACAAACAGCACTACAAAGATTCAATACAGCCTTCCTTCGAGATACTGACAAGCTCCATGAATTCAAGATAACTCTCAACAACAGGTTACAGGCTCAACAGGATCTACTGAAAGAACAAGAAACTACTTTGGAGGACAACTGGAAAGGGATAAAAGAAGCCCTAAATTCAACGTGCCAGGAGGTTCTTGGTCCTAAGAAGCATCATCACAAAGAATGCATCTCTATGGGAACCCTGGACAAAATTCAACAAAGGAAGAACAAGAAACTAGCAATTAACAACAGCCGAACACGAGCAGAGAAAGTCAAGGCACAAGCAGACTACGCAGAAGCAAACAAGCAAGTGAAGAAAAGCATTAAAGCCGACAAGCAGAAATACATGGGAGAACTAGCAACGGCGGTGGAAAAAGCTGCAAGAGAAGGGAATATGAAACAACTATATGATACAACGAAGAAATTGGCAGGGAGATATAGCAAACCAGAGAGACCAGTCAAGGACAAAGAAGGAAAGACAATCACTGAGATTCAAGAACAGAGGAAAATATGGGCAGAATACTTCGAGGAACTGTTGAATAGACCAGCCCCATTGAATCCACCGAACATCGAAGCAGCCCACACTCACCTTCCAATAGATGTCACTCCACCAACGATCGAAGAAGTCAAGATGGCCATCAGACAAATCAAAAGTGGGAAGGCGGCAGGACCTGACAATATACCAGCAGAAGCACTGAAGTCAGACATTGAAATAACTGCAAACATGCTTCACCTTCTATTCAAGAAGATTTGGGAAGAGGAACAAGTGCCAATGGACTGGAAAGAAGGATATCTCATCAAGATACCAAAGAAAGGAGATCTGAGCCAATGTGAGAACTACAGAGGCATCAGTTTTTTATCAGTACCAGGAAAAGTTTTCAACAGAGTGCTGCTGAATCGGATGAAAGACGCAGTAGACGCCGAACTTAGGGATCAACAGGCTGGATTCCGTAAGGATCGGTCGTGCACAGACCACATTGCGACACTACGGATCATCGTTGAACAATCAGTTGAATGGAACTCATCACTATGCATCAACTTCATTGACTATGAGAAGGCGTTTGACAGCGTGGACAGGAGAACATTATGGAAACTTCTTCGACACTATGGAGTTCCTGAAAAAATTGTCAACATTATCCAAAACTCATACGATGGATTACAGTGCAAAGTGGTGCATGGAGGACAGCTGACAGATGCATTTCCAGTAAGGACCGGAGTCAGACAAGGCTGTCTACTCTCCCCATTCCTCTTCCTTCTAGTGATTGACTGGATTATGAAGAATTCGACATCTGAAGGGAAATACGGAATACAATGGACTTCTCAGAATCAATTAGATGATTTGGACTTCGCAGATGACCTAGCCCTCCTCTCTCACACACACGACCAAATGCAGATGAAGACCGCAAATGTAGCAGCAGCCTCCGCATCGATAGGCCTTCACATTCACAAAGGAAAAAGCAAGATTCTCAAATGCAACACAGAGAACACCAACCCAATCACACTTGATGGCGAAACTCTGGAAGAGGTGGAAACATTCAAGTACCTGGGGAGCATAGTTGATAAACAAGGAGGATCGGATGCAGATGTAAAGGCGAGGATTGGCAAAACAAGGACAGTATTTCTACAATTGAAGAACATATGGAACTCAAAACAACTCTCGACCAATTTCAAGGTCAGAATCTTTAATACGAACGTCAAGACAGTCCTACTGTATGGAGCTGAAACGTGGAGAACTACTACGGCCATCATCAGGAAGGTACAAATATTTATAAACAGTTGTCTACGCAAAATACTCAACATCCATTGGCCGGATATTATCAGCAACAGCGTTTTATGGGAGAGGACAAACCAGCTTCCAGGTGAAGAGGAAATTAGGAAAAGACGTTGGAAGCGGATCGTATATACATTAATGAAATCACCAATGTGCATCACGACTCAATCTCTAACTTGGAATCCGGAAGGGAAGCGGAAAAGAGGAAGGCCAAAGAACTCACTACGCCGGGAAATAGAAGCCGATATGAAAAGGCTGAATAGCAACTGGAAAGAAATAATGATGTAAATTGTCTTGCTTTTAGTATGAGCGGGGATATTATCGTCAATAGAGTTCATCATTTCATTCATTTGTGAAAGCCAGAGCGGCTTATGCCAATCTGGGCCATCTTTGGCGCCTTCGTGATGTTAGTCTGGCTGTAAAAGGTCGGATCTACAACGCGTCGTTGGGAGCAGTTTTGCTCTATGCTTGTGAAACCTGGCCTCTCCGAGTTGAGGATGTTAGACGTCTCTCTGTGTTCGACCATCGTTGTCTCCGAAGGATTGCTGACATCCAGTGGCAACACCATGTTAGTAATGCAGAGGTTCGGCATCGTGTGTTCGGGCGCAGAGACGATAACTCAATTGGTGTCACCATCTTGAAACACCGACTTCGGTGGCTTGGACATGTTTTACGAATGTCGTCTCAGAGAATTCCACGTCGTGCATTATTTGCCGACCCTGGGACTGGTTGGAAAAAGCGGAGAGGAGGTCAGTGTATGACATGGTGTCGTGGCATGAATGAAAGCTGCAAAGGGCTAGCTTCCGTTGGTCCTTCACGACTCCCTGGTTGGGGTCCGAGAGATGGTGCAACACAGTGGCTAGAGACGTTATCAGATATGGCTCAGAATAGAAGCCAGTGGCGATCCTGCTGTAACCTTCTTTTACTTTCTATATAAAGAATGGTTCTAACTTTCCTAACTGAGTCTTCTGGTTGTACATTTCAGTCCGCCTTATCTTTTCATCCCTTCTCTTCCTACTTTCATTATTTTGTGTGGCGCATATGTACCTGGTGCCCTTTTGTACCAATATATATGTGTTTAAATAAATAATAATAAATAAAAACTGGAAAGAACTGGAAAGGAAGGCTCAGGACAGAGTTGAATGGAGAATGCTGGTGAGCGGCCTATGCTCCTCGACGAGGGGTAACAGGCGTAAGTAAGTAACAACAATTAGGAGTACTAAACTAAGTTTATAGAGAAGTTTATTGTGGTTTAATGGTAAATGTACGCAGACTACCTTTTAGCACCACCAGCGTCCGGACTAACAATACAACAGTCTTTCCATTCTGGTATATTTGTTTTGACCCATTTGATAACTGCAGGCTCAGCATACAAATTATCAACAGGAATATCAAAAAATCCTTGAATTTGACTGGCATGTAAGTCCATTGTTATTATATGATCAGCTCCAGCAACTGACAGCATATTAGCTACTAATTTTGCTGAGATCGGAGCGCGTGATTTATCCTATTTTAAGAAAAAGTAGCTAATTAGTCACAGAAAGGTTAAGTTTGTTGAAACAGTGTGAATTAAAATAATATTTTCTTACTACTCTTTCATAAAATACAGTTAGAGTGCTAACATTTTATCTACAGCAAACATCTCTGAAAATGATCTTGTAAATGTTTGTCATGCTACTGAATAATTCGTCACTTCTTAATGCTTTCGAACTGCTTGGATCTATCAATACAATTCGTAACAAATATTGACCGTCGTTTCACTGTGTATAATATTTATATTTTCGGTCACCTAAAAACAAAATCTTATTCGGTTAGAAAAGTAATACACAGACATTCCTTGAAAAGGATTTTCCCCTCGCTGTTTGAAATGGACGTATGAAGTAACATGACTGGGATAATAAGAATAGTGAATTGTCACTAAAGTAGAAAAAAGACCTTACTGTCTGAAAGTAGGCTCTTTAGTAGACGTTCAAAGCTACAATTTGAATTGGTCGTAGAGCCAAAGAGACCGGATGGTAAATGGACAAAACTTCACACCACCAAAAATTTCATTCGCCTTTCGATGCTCACCTTTATTGATATGCACTTTTTTTCTAGCGCCCTCATCGGTGTGAACCTTGTTAAATACCCTGTGCTTAACTCCAACTTTGGTAACCCGATCGTTCCACAAAACGGAAGCAATGCTCCAAAAGCATCTATGACAAAGGAATTCTCACCAAATTCATGCTTTCTACATTTGTAAATCATAATTCAGTGGTGAGGCTGCATGATTTTAATCACTGTACACCTATTTTCAACAAAGCTTTAATTACAATCGGAGTTATTACACAGAAGATTCTTAATTAAGGTAAATAAATCAACCTATTTTGATTGAAGAATTGAGGGAAGTTGATTTTGAATAGTGATCTGAGCGCTGTTAGGGGTATGAGGGCAGTTATCACTTTCCGAATACCCACACCACGGAAGGGTTCTTCTAGAGGTACCTGAGGAAATTGGATTAGAGGTGATCTTAGTGATTTGAGAGTTGGACTGCAGTGCCCGAAGGACAACTGCTTAAGGTCGGTCACACACACGACCTTTTTGTGTTAGTTCCAAACTTGTTGAAACCTTACCTCCGAAGACGGATATCTGTGGGATAAGGCGAGGTGTGCATGTTTAGTGTCGACATTTTCTAACTTCACATTTCCTTTGTGGGGAGGCAGCATTGCTGTTATGCTGGTTGTCTGACAGAAACACCTAACTGATGTCACACCTCTATACAGTCAGCAGTACGACTTCGCCTTCGGATTTTGGGTTTGCTGTTTTTCATCTTATTGCTCTTCAATCGACCTACCTGGCATGGTAGGATCTTAAGGAACGATTGTTCCAGCCAGTATAGCCTGGTTGGTTCATCACGATAGGCAAGCTCAACCATCAAGTAAAAATAGCAGAAACGGTCGGGAACCTACTGCGGGCATTACGATACCTGGCGATTAAAAACCTTTGAAATGATTCTTATATGTTTTCGCGGAGAGACTAAAGAACATGGACGAGCCAATCAGAAGATTTCGCGGGTTTTCAAGGTCACAGCGCTAAGTTCGGTACCTGACGCTTACGTACGGTCGGTTTACAATGGGTTTTAGAGAAAACATGATAATTAAGCGACTACAAGATATGTTACCATTAGGTTTTGGCGCAAAATTCAATTATATATTTGGATTGAGTTGTGGCATTATAGCTGATGTCAGTTCGTGATGAAAACCCTAAGTAAAATTCATAACCTTAACCATGAACTGTAAATCATAATTTGAATTCTTCACACGGGTTTATAACCCTCATTTAGTCTTAGTTATTACGTTGACACTCTCAGATTCACTCTAGCGTCGTCCATTATTTATAGTCTCATCTTTAACCCTAAACCTTAACCTTAATCCTAAACCCTAAACCATAACAACATACCGACAACACTGAAACTATGTGGTTGAGGCTGAAAGAATTTTCGGGACTTTATCATGGTTCCAGATGTCGACTAATATGGAGCCTCAGGGATGAGTTCCTGTGCCGGATGCACTATGATTTTAAAACTTCTGAACCTATATCTGACCTTGATAAGTTTTTGATACATGTAAAAGAACAGTATCCCCTTTAATTTTTGAGTTTTGTATAATATATTTTTATTGTATGCTAACTGTCTTCTGATTGGCCAATATTTCTCAAGGTCATTTAAGATTCGTTCAAAGGTCGTCCATGTTCTTTAGTCTCGCCGGCATTACGATACCTGGCGATTAAAAACCTTTGAAATGATTCTTATATGTTTTCGCTATACTGTAGACTATTAAACTACATTATGACGACAACTGTTAATTCATGCGCAAAGTTGAAAAAGTAACTTTGGATGAGACTGTATGTTTGAAAAAAGCTTTGTGACTTTTAAAGTTCTCTTACTAAACTGACAGGATATTTATGCATTCAAGAAATTAACACAACAGGTAAGCTACTTTTTGGTCGAACTTAAACCACGAACCATCAAAAAAATGACAAGAACATTAGACATGGTGTAAAACCCTACCATATAATTTCCTGATGATCAGACAGCTACCTAAAGACAACGTGGATGCACATAGTCAGAGAACTAAAACATTGGACTTGTTGACTTTGAATTCGTAGCAATTTGAGTCCTGAACGTAGGTGGTCTCGAATGATCGTAATGGCCATCGAAATACCCTGGTTTTCCTCCTCTTTTACTTCGTTTAATTTAATTGTGGGTATGAGACTTTACTGTAAATGTTAATTCACCATGCAACACCAGATACTCCAGTTACAGTTATATACACGCACCAGACGAGTTTTCAACATAACGAAGATGGTTACTTAGTGCCGGCGCACTCATAATTTGTCTACAGTAAGTTAGTAAGCTTTCAGCACTCAGAAAAATGAGTATAATAATTATTAGTAAGATTGGTATGACTAAACTATACTGTCGAATCAATCAGAAGCTTTTGCGGGTTTTCAAGGTCCTACGGTAAGATTTAGTGACTGTTCTTTCCATAAACAGTTTAGTTGTTTCCAAAGCCGAAATTTTACAAATATTTTAAGAACTAAGCGAAAATAAGTGTATGACTCACCTTTTTGTCTTGCCTTGCATATGGGAAACAGGGGATGACTGCGGACACTCGGGAACTTGAAGCGATCTTACAGGCGCTAATCATTATGAGCAGTTCCATAAGGTTGTCATTAACTTCTCCACCACCAGTTTGTATTATATAAACGTCTTCTCCGCGAACTGACTCCTCAACCTCAACACTATAAATTTACATTCGTTAGACTTATCGTTGATGAAATATATGTCTAGAGGAATTTACTAACCTTGTCTCCTGATTACTGAATTTTTTGGAAGTAACTCTACCTAATCGACAGCCAATACGGTCAGCTATCTTTTGAGCCAAGTCTCGATTTGAACTACCAGAAAACACCTTTATGTTAGGCATTGACGTGGATTTGTTTGTGAACCTCGAGGAGCAATGTTGGAATCACCGCGCGTTGAAGGTAACCTCAGTTTCGATTGTCCAAACAATATTCAATAATCATGTAACGATCTTAAGTCCATTGATTATTAATAGCATTTGCTGCTTTTTATTAATGTTGTCTAGTATTTAAAATTAACTAATCGGTTCAATCGATAAAACAAACCAATCAACTACGATCATAATAGGCTATCGTGGTTCTTAAACAAACATTAGCAGCATGTAGATGCTCCTGTGTAATATATTTGTTAAAATATCAACCTTTCCTAAGTATAACTACAAGGCAACACAAATGCGCATCTGTTTGTAACTTATTCATTTATACAGGCAAGACAAGAATAACTATCTTTTATAAGTTCGTCTTTCTGCTTAATTACTATCATCTATCTTCACTCAGAAGTTATCTACTAGAATGTTCTACTTACTGACCACTGACTACCTGTGTTCCTGCTTCTGAGTCCCATGGTCGGCCAGGGGATTCGAATGTCAGAGATTTACGGTGAGTATGAACGTTAAATTTCCTGCAATCTTAGATATCGTTTAGATTGTTCACCAGGAAATGCTATGTATTTGGCTTAAACTATTTTTGGACCTGTTCAAATTCAGTCTACATTGCTGTGCTAAACTTACAACTAAATCAACAATACCTCATTTACAATCCAAATCCGAGCTAATGTCTATTTCAAATCTTCATTAATTGGAAGTGAAGGTAATCCGGATGAGTTTCGTAACTGCATTAGATGTTTTCGTAATGTAATTATGGTGCCTAGTAACTTTCGCTTAGGTTATTTATATATTCTGCCACTGCCGTCAAGTTTTTGCCGAAATCATATACCTTTATAACTTGTGAGTTGATACACTGTGGGAAAACGTACTGCCGTACGCAATATGTTACTTAACGCTGGATAATAGGCCTTTTCCATCAGCTTTTTATGAAATGGGCACGTTATCTGAACCTTCTAAACTTTAGTTACAATCGTAGTGCCCATTTTTACTGATGTTCTTTGCAGGTTTTGCACTTGCTTTTGTCACGCAAGATTAACCACTGCTCCATTTCCTTATTTCACATCGGTCATCTCAATTCCGTCTTCGGTTTATTTACGTGCAATACGGATTTGGCAAATATGTAAACGATCTCTGGAATTCCCCACGAACCCCATCATAGTCTTCGTATGTTTACATTTACACATCCAACTGTTACACAAATAATACACAGACAAACGTTCAGTTCAACCTTCAGCATATAAAAAAACGACGTGATTTCGCTGTGACGTCACACATCAGAACTACTGTGAATATTCACCTTCTATGTCGTACTTTGTTTTATGAAGTATTGTATCCTCATGGCTTTTATCTTTTTGTGCCTATAGGTGACCCTCGTTCTATTGAGAGAGGAAACCAGTATAGTGATGAATAGGTCTTTATTTAGCTCGTGGAATACACTGGTATGGGAGGTTACCCGTTCGAACACACGAAGCTTTTCAACATTCAATATGAGATAATAGGAAATATAGTGCCTCTACAAATTAAGGAGGTGAAATAACACTTGAGCTCTATAGTTTAAACATATACTCGGTTGTTTGAGATCATCTGTTAACTAGTCAACCTAAGTTGTTACAATCTAACATGATTTCAGTACATCTATCGGCTGTACAAATACTCGACGATTTAAAACCTGTTCAGTTCAATTAATGGTCAGTTTACGTAGTCGAGCAAATCTCTTGCAAAGTGAAAAAGATATTGTCACTTCTATACCCAAACTGACAGCGTTTCGCACCAACATCATTGACATGAGCCCAAAGTGACACTTAGTTTCTTTTGCTCCATTCGATATTTTTAGGTTCGCCGTTTATCATCCTGTAGAGCCAACTTCATTGTGTCTCTACCATTCTCGATCTGTAGTCTACGACCTACACTGATTGTAACAATAATCATCAGCTCCGCAAAACCTGACTAAAAGGTGATCAATAATTTCATGCGACGAATTGACGAGTATTTTGCGGTTATACCTCTGTACTTTCAGCTAATCTGCTTAATATAGATAAAAATAGAATTTGACACTTACGAACCGTAAACTGTTAACGATACAGACTGAATTTCTGCCTAAGTTCAACTACATTTATAACATCGGCACCAATAGATGATACACATACCGTACTACTAATATATTATCATTACTCTTGCGGCAATCTGACCATTGATTATCTAGAGACTTCAGCCAGTTGCATGCCACCAGCTGGCCTTTGCGGTGGTGGTCACAATCTCTTCTTTGTACCTACTCTTACTAATGTATTTCCGTAATAAAGTTCTTTGTGTTATACAGTCTTTAAAACAGCCGTGGTACATTGATACGATGAAAGGGTAATCCACGTTAGGTGCAAACTGCAAGGAGTGACTTCAAAGTTAGCTGGTTCATCACATCGTTCCCGTCTAACTTGAGAAGCGCCCCAATCATCCGACTCATATCAACCACACCAGTGATCTACAGGTCATGACATATTTCAGTCAGTTTGAAAGTAATTTGTAGGTTTGTTTATCTTGTTATCTGATTAATTCCGTTTGTCTCAGGGCAGTAAAGATGCAACAAATATCCAGGGTTTGACAGCGCTTTCGTCTATAACACCTTTACAGTCGAAATATATCGACCCAGTCAAATCATAATTCATGGGTGAATGAGTTGGAAAATATATTTGTGAGGTCGCCGATACGTTTGATCTAATCTGACTAGTAGTTGCAAGAGATGTGTAATACATGTGTAATACGTGATCTAATACAGATGCGTGACCAAGCGCTCTTAGCTGATGTGTCTAGTCAAACATATGAAGTCAGAATCAATACCGAAGTCATACAGAACTATTTACTTTGGGGACTTATTTACCGCTACAGTCCAATTCCCCAGCTGGTAGGGAAATAATGACCCTTATACACAGCAAGTCATAAATTTAGACTCGAAGAACTTTTCTTTGGTAAACCTGCTGAGTCCAGCAGCATTCGGTCGTCTTTCCATGAATAAAAAGACATCCAGTAAGATCTAAAATTAAGAATGTAGGGTGAAAACTTTAGTGCATTGAACTCTTCGTCAGTTTTTCATCTTTTTCAGTCGTCCGCGCAACTCTTGCTTTTATCAAAACTTTTTTCAATGAAGATGGAAAGAAACAGATTTTAAACTATTTATGAAAAATTGGCAGGTAATATTAGACTCATTTATATCCACACATCAGATAATTATCTATATCCTCTACTACGAACTTTCCTTAAAAACCATCCTTGTTTTTCTAAAATTTCAAGGAAAACAGTACATCCTTAGCAACTTATTAAATATGTGTTCTCTCTAGTCGTAGTATATGAAGTCTAATTTTTACCAGATGGTGTAGATTTCTTTATTTCATTCAAGGAAGAAAAGTAGAAGTTATTTTTGAAGATGGACTTGTAGTGGATGTCGAGTCGTAGACGGACTATGATCACCACTACAATTCGTTTACGCGCCCAAAAACGACTTGGTTCCTTTAATAGCTCGTAAATCAGATGACTTTATTAATCCAGATCAAGTATATTTATTGGCGATCTCGTGGTATCGAAATAATACTGAGACGTGCCAAAGAGTACAGGCGAAATGAGCAGGGCGTGAGCAAGTTCGAACCAAACAAGGCGGAGAGCGAAAGCAGAAGTGAAACTGATACAGCTAAACAAATACAGTGAAACAATCTCTGGTACAATTGGTTACAATAATAATAAATGTTTCCATTATTCCAATCGTGTTCTTATCGAGACTGGCCGGTCACTACAGACTGTTGGTAAACTCCTGCTACCAAATTATCCAACTAGTGGAGCGAATTAATTTAAATCTGAAAAAATTAACGGGTAATATACGTTTATTTATAGCTTGTTATTAACATGTGGTATATACTGAATCTGGTTTCATGAAAAAAAAATGCGAAGGAATTTATCCTTTTAGAACGTTTGTTGAGTGTATTGTTCTTTTTCATTGAAGAAAATGGATTTATGGATGCCACTGTGGACACTGATGATAATCAAGTCAGCGTCGCAACCAGTGGTTAGAGACTTCAATCTACATGGCTGAAAATTGTTCGCTATGACATACGTGCATCCATTCTTGCCCTATTTTCTAAGCTTCTGAATAACCGTGATTTTTTCGAACTTCGCTTATTTAAAATTTCTTGAATCGCATCTTCGATTCCTAATTTTCTTCTGATACCACTGATACTCACTCCGCCTGTACCTCTTCTAGAGCTACTGCCGGCCACAAGCCTGGGTAAAGGTGGAAGGGTCGACAACCGACTGATACTGTTACGACCTTTGCTATGTTTGGATTCGGCCTGACGATCGCATCTCTCTGTGAAAAATCGGCATGGCAACTTGAACTGATGAATATACGTACCAGGTTCTACGTTACGATTGACTGACCGACAAGTTTTACCAGTTAAATCTCCTTACATATAAACGGGACGAGCAAAATCAAAATCAAAAACCTTCTTTAGTAACACCAACATATGAATAAAAATATACTTTAGAAATCTAGGAATATTTTGATTCTCCTAGTTTTTGACAGATGTACAGAAGCGGATCAATATTAGGCACAATCCGAGCCTCTATAGACTCATTTAAAACATGGTCTTTGAAATTCTGTTCCCAGTTAGAATTAGCCAGATTAATATTGAAGATGCAGGATTTTCTGCAATTTCAAGATGATTTTCCGTACTGTTTATGATACCAGCATCAGTCAAGGTTATCTGTCTCTCGTGATCTAGAGACAAATCGTTTTCGTGAAGAACACTTGGAGGGGTTTGTGACCGTCTATGGCCATTACGAGTGTCAGCGTATGACAGTCCCGTAATGTCATTCTGTGTCGCCTGAGGTTTTTCTTTGACTGGAAAAACCTTGACGTTAGAAGGTTTGGTGATCTCACTAGTCACTAGTGAGTCACTACTAAACATACTAGGTGTGACGTACCTGTTAAGTCTGAGTGAGTGTCTTGACTACTGCAAGGAACTGTTCATGTGTGCCGTTCACGCCGTGCTCGTAGAAGTCGGCCTCCTTAATAGTTTGATTTTCGATATGAATATAGTCGCTTCTAGTCTTGTTGAAAATACCTTAAAGTTTACAGATAATCTTGACCTAAAATGTTGTAATTATAGTAGCTCACGTGCGATTGAGTTCGTTCACATTTAATTTGCTTAAGCTTTTCTGTTAACTTATTTAACAGAGTTATTTGTACAATAACAACATATCTATACCATCGTACCTTTATTACTGTTGCGCTTGTATTAATATATATGCCTGAGCATTACTTACCGCCAACGCACATATTCATTCTGTTAGCTTTAATGTTAGTTGCTGAATTGATTCGACGATCCATTCACTTCCCTATGTATATATTTGTACATTTTAATTCTACCCACTCACTCGCTCGCTTGCTTTTTGACATTAGCTTTTCATTCTTGTTTCGCAAGTCTGTGGTTCTGGTGATCTGTGAGTCGTGCAATTATAAACGCGACCTTCTGATTTATACATCGTCGGGGACATTATCTAGAAAAAGTTTTCAGGACGAACTGTTTACGAAGTTTAAAGATTATATCGAATACCAACCACTACATAGTAACTACCGCATACTGCATAACCATTTGGATACTTAGCAATATTGACAACAGTTGTGATTTCGGAATAAAAAGTTTTGTTCGTATTCCAGTAATAGATATCTCCCCCTGCTCAGTTACATCTTATTTTACTTTCTATCTTAAATGTCCTTGAAAGGACTTATGCATAATTATCTACCTTTCACATAATTTCAAACTATGAAAAGTACTTGCTATCATATTTTAAGTACTAGTTACCTAGATAATAAGTATATGACGTACACTGACGTCACACTTCTTTGTTATAACTGGATAAAAAAGGCAAAATTACATTATTAACTCACCATAGTTTTCTATCTTCAGTGTTATACTTTATTTATTTCAATGCGATGCCTATCTCTACTTCTAAAACATGCAAATTAATGACAATATCAAGACCTTCCATGCACAGGATGGACATATGCTAAAAATAGGCTGATCAGTTGTAGTCATCGAAATCAATAGGAAAAATTTAAACAACCAATACAAATGAATTAAGATATTCTGTTTCAAATGAATATGAGTTACATATAGTTGAAATCATGAGTCAATTGAAGCTAGACCACCATGAAAAACCTGGAAGCACTGGATGGCCGTTTCGTCCAATTGTTGGACTCCTCAGCAGGGCGCATCCACGATCCCGCCGCGCGAGATTCAAACCCAGGACCTATCAGTCTCGCGTGCGAGCGCTTAACCTTTATACCACTGAAATGGCCGGAACCCAACGGTGTTAATGTCTAAATTCAACCAATCCACGAAGTCGAACAGCCATTCACCATTGTCTTCAGTGAGTTGATATCTCACAAAAGATCTGGATGAACTCCACTGGTTACTGCTTCTCACTAGAACTCCAGGAAATATCTCATGGAGCCAGTCACTAGTGATCATATGATCTAGTGGTTAAGCGCTCTCGCGCGAGACTGATAAGTCCTGAGTTCGAATATCGTGAGGCGAGATAGTAGACGTGCAATGCTGAAAAGTCCCACAATAGAACGAAACGGTCGCCTAGTGCTCCCAGGTTTTTCATGGTGGTCTAGCTTCAATTGGCTTATGATTTAAATTATAAAAGATTACTAAAGTCTCCCCAAAACCCTCTTCTGAATATGAATGATGTTTAGTATTACATGATTTGTTATACTTTCAATTAAAAGTACATATATATACATTTCATTATATTTTGATATTACGCTAGAAGAATTACATCTCTTTATATTATTCAACTAGTTCTAATATGTTGTAATAATTCACTGATCATTTTATAATCTTTCTGTAATGAATAATTCTCATTCGTTCTTCTATTAGAAATAATTTGATATTGAAAACTTTCCGTTTGTTGATTACATAATGAAGTAATTTTGAAATTAAATGGTTCAAGTAATTGATTTTTATTTGAATCTTTATGACGAAGTATTGTAGTCATCTGACGCTTCCATTTAGTTCTGAAAGAAATAGAAATAGATATTCTATAATTAATGTAAAATATAAATGAATAACCCCTAAATGCCCTGGGACGGCCGAGAGTGGGGAGAGTCCGCTCTCCCTCTTCAAATGCTCTCACATGGCGACGCGTATATAACCTCTTCCAGGGAAGTCTAACTCACTGCCTTCTCGTGGTGAAGGTGTTGTTTACGAAAATGAGTAGACGAAAAGCGAATGTCCGGCGCTTTAACCGAGTTGGTGGACACGGAAAGTTCACCTAGCAAGCATATACAAGTTTACTTATATATCCGTTATATCTTGTGGCCTATATACCCTGTTAATATATAACGCGATGATGTCGCAAATTAGAGAGCGGTGAATTATCGATCAGACCAATGACACATAAAACCCGTACGAGCAGTCTAGAGTAATTGTTGGTTCTGCTTCCGCCTAGCCCAGTCAGTTAAGTTCAGAACACCAATCTCAGCCTCTGCCGTATGAATCATTATATTTCAAACTTACTGAGTTTATATACCAACCAGACAGACCACATCGTACCATAAAATAGGAAAACAACATTTGTACAAGATTTAGCTAAATGCAACTGTGAATAAGGGAGATAGTAACTGATAAACTGGGGATAACTCAAGAACGACAAATTGTGCAGTAATAGTTTATGGGTCAAGATAAATCTTATAATGAGAGGAATATGAATAGTTTAGTTGTTTAACAATTATTTGATAAATATATACACATAGTACTGGTCCATAGTACGGTCCATAAACTAACTAATCATGTATAAGATAACAGGTCTTAGATTTCAGCGCGAAATTCACTCCATCCATTTGGATAAATAGAGTTTTGGTATTAAAGCTGATGTCAATTCGTGATGAAAACTCTAAATCTAATTTCTAACCTTAACCATCAACTGTAAATCATAGTTCTAATTCTTCACATTACTTTATAATATTCATTTGGTCCTAGTTATTAGGTGGACACTTTCAAGGTCACTCTGGCGTCACTCAAAAGTCGTCCATAAACTATAGTCTCACCTTGATTTTTATGTGATAATCTTGATATGTGAATATTTTATGTAATTTTAGGAACTGATATCAACTGAAAAACATCTGGAGACGAAAACATTTATGTTTGGAATTCCTGATTATTGTTCTCACTAACTTATATGGAACGAAATACACTACCGAAGTACCTGACAAGCATAACTTCCTCAGTCCATCTAGATAAAATTCAATGTTCCTTATTCATAACTTCAATTGATTGGCGAAATAAAGCCCTACACATCCAATTTCGTCGATAATTGATATGAACGATTTTGGTTAGTACAATATAATAAGGATTTGAACTGATACTATTTCCACCTTCTCACTACCTTATGTTACACTGAGACACATGAATACATTAAAGAAACACTCGGGGTCTGAATCCAAAGTTGTTATTATTATTTATCAAACATAAAGCTTTTCGGCGAGACTATTATTTATGAACGAATCAGTTAGATGGGCTCATGATTGGGGCTTAAAATTTCACTCCAGAAAGAGCGTGCTCATGCACATCGGACACGGTAATAGTTACCATTATACCATTGATGGGACATCTCTTCCACGCGTTCAAGAACATAAAGACTTAGGAGTAATAATAATTTACCACTTAAAAACAACTACGCACTGCCACATAGCTACTTCCAAAGGTTATCGTGAATTATGGTCAAGTCTCCGAGCATTTAAATGCTCTGATGAGGAGATGTTTCGAATTTTATATCCCACCTATGTAAGACCACACTTAGAGTACTGTGTCCAAGCAGCTAGTCCATGTTTGAAAATGGATAGTAACTCACTTGAGAGTGTCCAGCGTGTGGGGACAAAATTAGTGATGGGTCTTTTTAAACTCCTTTACGATGAGCGTTTAAAACGTTTAAAAATTTTCCCATTGTCTTATCGTAGGACGCGAGGTGACCTTATACTGGCATTTCGTATCTTTAATTATGATTTGGGTGCTAATATGTCTTATCTTTTTGCTCCCTCTAGCACTGATAATCTCCGAGGTCATAGCAAGAAGATTCACAAACCGCGATCTAATAAACTGAAGGTGGGGTCCCGTTTTCCTCATCGAGTGGTAAATGACTGGAACGCATTACCCGAACGAGTGGTATCAGCCCCATCAGTGAACATTTTCAAAGAGAAGCTTCAATGGAAGGCAATCTGTCAGGATTAACACAGGTTTATCAACCTACTATCCTTATTACCGAAGAATGAAGACTGGACGACTCTTCAGCGACGCTAAAAAGACCTTGAGAATGTTCACCTACATACTACGGCTAAATGAGGGTTAGAAACCAGTGTGAGGAATTATAATTATGATTTACAGTTGGTGATTAGGGTTATGAATTGGATTTGGGGTTTAACATCACGAATCGACATCAGCTATAATGCCAAAACTCTATTTTAACCAAATGGATGACTGAATTTCGCGCCAAAATTCAAGACCTGTCATCGTAAATCAGATTGGTTCGTCCATAAATTATAATCTCGTCAGAGTTTTCTTATCACATTTTTAATCAACCAAAAATTGTAATAGAAAAGTGAATTAATAATTTTTACCGATTAATCTAACAGCAGAATGAATTGTAAGCAAAGATGGATAGTGGCTACCAGTGGAATCCAGGACGCGCGTTTCGTTCAGCTGGATGGACACCTGAATCACAGAGTTGATGTTCACTCCTGGATTCCACTGCTAGCCGTTATCTATCTTTGCTTACAATGCTTGTGAATTAAGGCTATATCGAAGCAATACACACAGTATGCACATACGCCAATTAGAGACTGACCAGTTGCAGTCCTAAACATCAATAGGAAGATTCAAACAAACAATACTAAGTGAATCAGAATGAATTGTCCAATAAGTTTACTTCAAGATATAATGATTAGGTCGTTTTAAGTATCAATGAAAATATAAACATTAATTACATTATATCGGTAATTGACAAATGAGGATTAAATACAGATCCAGGTTCAGAGTTTCCTGTTGACTACTAAAATTTAGATCTGCAGTAGACCTGCTAACAATCATTAGTAATCAATTCATGGATTGATAGGTATTTCATTTAACTCTTATGATGATTCCTATCTCAGTTGATATCAATGATGTAACTACTGTAAATCAAGTAAATCTAAGTAGAAATTTCATCCTAGTTACGTATCTTACAACAATGTATTACCATATAGATACAGGACTGAGGATCTTTGTATCTTTACTAATTAGGTAGGAAATTAGAATTCGACCCTCTACTTTTTTCTAACCTATATGATTATCAGAAGGGGTTTTGTGGAGATTTAGTATATTCATAGTTGCAAACGTGAGTCAATTGAAGCTAGACCACCAACGAAAACCTGGAAGCACTGGACGGCCGTTTCGTCCTATTATGGATGAGCACTGCTGAGGAGTCCCACAATAGGACGAAACGGCTGTCCAGTGCTTCCATGTTTTCCTCGGTGGTCAACCTTCAATTGACTCACGTTTGTAACCTATATGACTTCACGAAATATCAAAATCACCATTCAATTTAGACTGTTTGTATCCAATTATTACTAATCTTTACCAAAGTACTCATCTAGATTCAAAAATGAAAGTGGTAATTATAAAGAATGAAGAGGAAATTAGGAAAAGACGTTGGAAGTGGATAGGACATACATTAAGGAAATCACCAATGTTCATTACAAGGCAAGCCCTAACTTGGAATGGTGAAGGGAAGTGGAAAAGAGGAAGGCCAAAGAACACATTACGACGGGAAATAAAAGTAGATATGAAAAGGATGAATGCTAACTGGAAAGAACTGGAAAGGATTGCCCAGGACAGAGTTGGATGGAGAATGCTGGTGGGCGGCCTATGCTCCTCGACGAGGGGTAACAGGCGTAAATAAGTAAGTAATTATAAAGAAGACAATTAAAGTTAATATGTATAATTCTAGAAATGAACTACTTACCGTCTATTTTGATACCATGTCTTTATTTGTCCTTCTGATAAACCTAAATGTATAGCTAATTCAGCACGTTCTAAAACATTTAAATATCTTTGACATAAAAAACTTTGTTCTAAATAGAATAATTGAGATTGAGTAAATGCAGTACGTTTTCGTCGATACGCTTGTTGTTGGTGTTGTTGTTGCTGTAGCTGTTGCTGTTGCTGTTGTGGTTCATAATGATGATGATGATGATCGTTTTGATTTATATAATAATCAGGATACTTAATTGTTTGGTATTCAATTGGATCTAATTGTTTTAGATTATACTTTGGATATATTGAAGATTCATTCAAGGAATTGTTCTCATCTACTACTCGACGAACATTCAACTTATAGTCTGAAGGATATTGAATAGTGAACAATTCTGTTTCATCATTTTGATTGATATCTATCATAGAATTGGTTAAAATGGTAAACGAGATAACAGAAAATGTTCATCATTATGCATATTTGATAACTTTTTAATCAATTATTAATAGACATGATGATAATCATCTATCAATGGTAGTATCTAAGGTGTGAAAAACAAACTCTAGACATTCTTGGTCGATTCTGAGGATAAATATTGAATGATCGCTAGATAGAAGTTAGCATCATTGATGAACAAGGAGGATCTGATTCAGATGTAAAGGCAAGGATTGGCAAAACAAGGACCACATTCATACAACTGAAAAACATATGGAACTTAAAACAACTGTCAACTAATTTCAAAGTGAGAATCTTCAATACGAACGTCAACACAGTCCTACTGTACAGAGTTGAAATGTGGAGAACTATTACAACCATCGTCAAGAAGGTACAAGTATTTATAAACAGTTTTCTTCGCAAAATATTCAACATTCATTGGCCGAATACTATCATCAACAGCGTTTTATGGGAGAGGGCAAACCAGCTTCCAACTGAAGAGGAAATTAAGAAAAGACGTTGGAAGGGGATATGGCATATATTAAGGAAATCACCAAACTGCATCATAAGGCAAACACTAACTTGGAATCTGGAAGGTAAACGGAGAAGAGGAAGGCCAAAGAGCACATTGCGACGGGAAATAGAATCAGATATGAAAAGGATGAATAACAACTGGAAGGAACTGGAAAGGATTGCCCATTACAAGGCTGAATGGAGAGTGCTGGTGTGCAGCCTATGCTCTTCGATGAGGGGTGTAACAGGCGTAACTAAGTTGTAAGTAATCCAATTAACCAACATCTAGATAATGTACATTCTTTTCACTGCATATTGTCACCAACCACAATATCTGTGATTGGGCCTTTTATAGCTTGTACAACCAAAGATTGTACACTTTTCAGGAATGCACAAAAATAGATAGCTTGTTGAACTATCTACACGGCAGGAACAGGTAACTCAGATGTTGAAGCAGATCACCTAGTAATTAACTGATTATTGAATCTTTTTACATCCCTTTTATTGAATACATATTGAAACATCAGCAATACCATCTTCAATCTCATAGTTTACATGTATTTATATTATTGATTAATTTCTGAGTAAATAAGGGGTTAATTATTTTATCTCAACTGCGTCACAAGACAAGCCCTCACATGGAATCCTGAAGGTCAAAGGAGAAGAGGAAGACTAAAGAACACACGACGCCGAGAAATAGAGACAAACATAAGAAGAATGAACAAAAACTGGATGGAACTAGAAAGGAAGGTCTAGGACAGAGTGGGTTGGAGAATGCTGGTCGGCATCCTATACTCCATTGGGAGTAACAGACGCAAGTAAGTAAGTAAGTAATTATTTTATATCATCCTCAAATAATTGTCTCTTATTTCCAGAAAAATAATTTGACTGAATTTTGGTCAGCCTTACTTGAAATATCTGTACTCTGTGAGGATTCGCCCGATATTAAATATTATCATACACGTTTATATAGAATAAATAGAATGTAATTAGAAGTACAATTGAGAATGAGTATTTCGTCCTATTTGAAATTAGTCAGTTGGATGTGTCTCAATCTCGTAGTTGATCTTCGCTCCACGATCAAGACTTAGTACTTTTGCTTTAAACTCTGACATGATATTCAAGTGATCCTGGAGTGAATATAAACTCAGAGATGCAGGTACATGCAGCTGACTAGTTTCAAATAGGAGATACACATTCTGGATTCCACCTCTAGTCATATCCCATCTATTCTATATAATGTGGCTACTATTTCCGGTTGTATCTAAATTATTTAGAAGTTCTCATGTCATATGTTTAGCTAAACATTCAATGTATAAGAATGTCTTTAAAACAATTCCTTTCATTATTTGTCTGAAAACTAATTTAATGAAGTCTTATACAATCCTGGCACCACTCAGGTATCTCGGTGGTCACTCAACTTTTGGATTATTGAGTTGCCACCCAATAGTTAACTTATCTAACTCTAATTGATGCTATAATAATATAAAGAAATGTAAGTACATTCATACTGATTACGTAAGGACGAATTATGTATTTAGTCACTTGAAAACTGTCATCTTGTAGGTTCCTCTTCAAGAAAACGTAGCTGGTTCCCGATTTCTAGAAAAATAGTCTGAGACTAGTCACTACGTTACTTAAACAGCTCAGTCAACAAATATTAGGATAAAATTAGCATAAAGAATAAATTTCCCTGTCTCCTGGTTATTGAAACCTCAAAACTGATGGTCAATCGGTTACTTGTTTTATGAAGGTTTTCGTATGACCCATTCAGATAATCCTTAGATTAATTTAAATGTTTAGCATCCAAGTCTTGACAAAATGAGTCACTTTAATTTAACCACATAAACTATGACAAATTAAATTCAGGAGAGACCAATTTAAGTTTAGAATACTTATTTCTGATTGTCTGGTCTAGAATTCCAGTAAACTATAATAAGAATTCCACATTGTACCAAACGTATAATATTGAATAAAGATATTATTATGATTAGCAAAGATGGATAGTGGATAACAGTGGAATCGAGGAAGTGCGTTTCATCGTATGTGGGACTCGTCAGATGGATGTACACCTGCATCTCAGAGTTAATGTTCACTCTGAGACTCAAATTCAGTACAGTTCGCTCCAAACATCCACTATCCATCTTTACCTATAATGCTTATGAATTAAGGCACTATCGAAAGAATACGCACAGTATGCACATATGCTAATAAGAGACTGATCAGTGGAAGTCCTAAACATTAACGGGAAGATTCAAACAAGTAATACTAAGTGAATTTAAACTTCACCCGATTGCACAAGCTAGTGGCTATCAGGACTCAGTAGCTAAATAGATAACGCGATGGTGTTTGAAACGAAAGGTAATGGGTTCGAATCCCAGAGTGAACATCAATTCTGATATGCAGGTACATCCAGCTGACGAGCCCCAAATAGGACGAAACTCGCGTCAAACTGGATCCCACTGCTAGCCACTACCCATCTTTGCTTATATAGATTTCTAGTTTTTAATGGGATGGTTTTATTGGTTTAAACTTGTATTTTAATCAGTTTCCTTCAATTAATTGTGAGTCCATCAATCCTCTAACTCCTCCTATAGCTCCTCTGAAGGCTACTGCATGTTCCAAGCCCGGATAAAGGAGGAGGGTTGGGAGTGGGATTAGCTACCCCACCCCGTAGAAAACTAACTGGCTAAAATAACACTAACCAGAAAAATTATTACTCATCAATCCTCTATAGAAGGGTTTTCAAATAACGAACACTTATAAATATCTATTGAAAATTGAATACCTATGGTTAGATTCCACATTTGATAGTGTTATGTAAGTAATTTAACACCGACCACAAAACAGTAACGATAAATTTCAGCTTATAGATATCTACGTCTCTTTTATGAAGAATATGTAAGTCCATATTTCCATTGAACTAGTTTCATTGCTCGTTACTTTAAGAACTATCTAAGAAATCCCTTTAAATTTATAGAAGGTATTCTCCACAGATTGGTCCAAATCGGGATACCATTAACAATCAGGAAATCCTGGACAACTGTTTCGTCCCATTATGAGGCTCTCTAGAAGTGCACATCAATAACCTCAGAAGAAATGTAACTCAAGGGCATAGAGTTTCTTGACGAACATCTAATACATAGAGCTATCGGGTTATCATTCAGCGATATACATTTCCATCTTCAACCAGTTCTTCATATGACACAACTGTCATCCAGTGGTACTGGTGATATATATTTCACTAAGTGGCGGACGATCGAATGTATTTGAATACAAAATTATAGAGCGTCTTAGTCAAATCTGAGAACCATACAGTAAAGACTTCATTTGCTCAATGTCAATCAATTGTCTCCTATTTGACTGCTCCTTTTGTAAACATCAGTTAATCGTCTCAGACTTCAATATTCTTACATTTCCATACCAATTGCTTTCTGTTCCTGTTTTTTCTTTCTCAGCCTTCTTGAGCTTCTCCTTCCAAACAGTCTATTCCTGACTAGCGTTATATACTAGTTATGTGGATATAAGTAACACTCACTATACTACTTTTATTATTACAATAGAATAATTCAACCATGATCTAACTTGACTAAAGGGGAGTTGAAGAGGCTTAGTTCCATGAATATTCCTTGATTTCATCTTTTATTAATTAAAATCTAACTATGTGTATTCTAGGAGGGGGGTTTTGTGGATATTTTAATAATTTTATATTGTTGACAGCATGAGTCAATTGAAGTTAGACTACCATGGAAAGCCTGGAAGCACCAGATGGCCGGTTCGTCCTATTGTGGGACTTCAGATTTCCCATGGTGGTCTAGCTTCAGCTGACTCATGAATTTGTCCACTAAATTATTTACATCTCTACAAAACCCTCTTCTTATAACTTAATAATAGTTTAAAAGTCGGAGAGAGGAATTTTATGTCAAACAAAACTGTTTAGTTTAGTCTAAACATCTAGTTCTAAACTTATTAAAAGTTTAAAAACACCTCCAACCCCCCTTCTGAGAAAAAGGCGTTTTGAAGGTATGAAAACCTATGAGAAGAATCACTTTTTGATGACATTGAAGGATATTTTGATGGTTGAAATCATGAGTTAATTGAAGTTAGACCACCATAAAAAACCTGGAAGCACTGGACGGCCTATTGTGGGACTCCTCAGCAGTGCGCATCCACGACCTCGCCTCTCGAGATTCGAACCGAAGATCTACCTGTCTCGCTCCAGAGCACTTAACTTTGAATTGATCAAAGAGAATTAAGTAGTCTTAACTATTGTAATTCAATAAACCAGTAAAACTTTGGCATACTGAATAACAAAAAGAAAACATATCAGTATAGGATTGTGTAGATTGCTGAGTTCATATTGATATTATGAATGGACCAATATTAGATCATCATTGAACCGCCATTTCATCCTAATATGGGACTCCTCAGCAGTATTCATCCACATTCCCACATGGGAGACTCAAACCCAGGACCTCCGGTCTCGTGAGTAAACTCTTAACCTCTAAAACACTGATTTGACATTCAACGGTTGCAATATCTAACTTCAACCAATCCACAATATTGCGCAACCTTTCACTATTGTTTTCAATGAGTAACTGCCTCTACAACAGACACAGTTGAAATCCATTGGTCACAGCTTCTCACTAGAACTCCAAGAAGTCAGTCACTAGTGAGTACATGATGATGATTATTATCAGAATGTGGATTTGTGAAGACTATAGTAATTCTAATAGTTGTATCCATGAGAAATCTCATACTAGGACGAAACAGCTATCCATTGCTTCTAAATTTACAATGGTGATCTATCTTACATCGACTCATGATACATATAGATAGATAGATAGATCATAGATCATAGAAAAATCATTTAAAACATGAATAATAAAAACTTGGGACTTACTTGAATGATTGAAATTATCCGATTGTTTTAATATATTCTCAATAGAAAATAATTGAGAAGATTTTTGATTAGTTAACATAATAGATCCCAATATTAGATTGTATTTATATACTACTAGTTGGTCAGTAGTATATATATATATATATATGCCAAGCTTCTTCTCTTTTCTTCCTTTCTCCTTTTTCTTCTTTTCTTCTATTTCAATCGGGTTTTTTTTTCTTTTCTTAAATCATTCACAAATATGTTTATGATATCTACCTGCACTAATTATTTAAATCATTGAAAAATAAGTAGTATACAATAATTTTATTTAATTTAAACAAATGAAATGAAATGAAATATTCAATTCATTAGAATAGGTTTCTCCCCTTTTTAACAAGGTGTCAAGGGGAGCACACGTGCACACGCACACACACACACACACAAAAGGGGGGAGAGAAGAGAAATATGTGGAATGTATTTCATCCCTTTCATTTAACCTTGATAATCAGTTACACAATTCATTTCATTAAAATAATTTTTTTTTTAAAGAGATAATAATAATAAACAAGGTGTCAAAGGCAGCACACATACACACATACGCACAAACACACAAAGGGGGACAGAAGAGAAATAGGTGGAGAACAAAGAAAAACTGGGAGAATAATGACCATAATCAAATTTTAATCGAATACAAATAGTTCTAGCAGTAGTAGTGGTAGTATCTTACTCTAACAGATTTTTCCCCTACCTAATTCTTCTTTACACACACACACACACACTTGTTCATTTTATTATCTATTACCCATTATTATTAGCAGTAGTATTGTTGTTATTTACCTAATGAGTTGAATAAGCAGAAAATAATTAGATCTCAATCATCAATTTTACAAATTGAATAAAATCTTTTCTTTTCTTTATCTATCTATAATACCAGATGTTTATTGATGAATTTCACGAGGGGGTTGGGTGGGGGGGGGTGAGGGGTGGGATGGGATGGGGAGTAGCCCATTTCCCCTTTTGTTACGTAATGATTTGCCGAATTTCTTTCTTTTTTAACACCACCACCACCACCCTTATTTTCTATTTTCAGACAAAATTTACTCCAATTTTAAATGTATCTTTACAAAAGGTTAAATCATAAATAGATAGAAACGAATCAGTTACTAACCAATTAGAGTATAATACCTTATTGAGGTTTATACATTATCATTATGATATTAGGTAATGATATATAGATATCATAACACCTTAGTTATAACATAACCATTTTGGTATTATAATAATGATACCCATGAGGTTGATAAATATATTGAATTAAATGAATAGAGTAATATATACATACTGTGTGTTGAACATTACACCGAGAAATAGAGACAGACATGAGAAGAATGAACAAAAAAATGGATAGAACTAGAAAGGAATGCCCAGGACAGAGTGGGTTGGAGAATGGTGGTCGATGGCCTATGCTCCATTGGGAGTAACAGGCGTAAGTAAGTAAGCAAGTAAGTAAAGTGTGTTGGATAGTTACTATAATTTGTATGTTTATTATTTGATTATTAAATCAATCTAATACTAACAGAAAACTGATTAGATTCTTTTTGATAAACGTATTGAAGTTATATTCATTGGGTGTTGTATAGTTTTTATATCTTCCCATTGTTATTTAGGACTACAATTGATCAGTCTCTCACTTATTGGCATATGTGCGTCCTGTGTAGACTGATTAGACACTGCCTCAAGTCACAAGCTTTATAAGTAAAGATGAATTATGGCTAGCAGTGGAATCAAGTTTGACGCGCGTTTCGTCCTAGTTGGGACTCGTCATATGGATGTACACCTGCATCTCAGAGTTGATCTTCACTCTAGGACTCGAACCCAGTACTGTTGGCTTCAAACGCCGTTATTCACTTAGTTACCGAGTCCTGATAGCCAACTGCTTGTGAAATGGGGTGTTGTTTACCTGTATCTTCCCATTGTTATTTAGAACTTCAATTGATCCTGTGTGGACAGCCTAGATATTGCCTCAAGTCACAAGCTTTATAAGCAATGATGGATAGTGACTAGTAGTGAAATCCAGAACGATCATTTCGAGTAGGATGTCTTATGTAATACTAAAATATTAAATAATCGGATAGCTTAGATAATAACACTGATTTAATGACTGGTATCAAATACTAACTAAAAAATTGAAAAAATGTAGTTTACCTCGAGAAAGAAATATCAGAAATGCATCGAACAACGGAAACAAGATAAACTATGTATCCATCCAACCAACCATCGATCCATGCATACATACATGAGAAACACAAACCGACCACGCATCAATGATTTTGATTAGTCAATCGACTTATCCAACCGAATTTTCAGATCGTCCATTGCACCTGATATAACGGGTGATTTATGATATATACCTACGTTACACGCATATTACGATAATAGGTTAATATGTTAGTATGATCAATCATGTTATGTCAGGATCAGGATTCATGAGAAAAAATTGAGAACAGGATTAATGGAAAGGAACACTAAATTCAATACACGTACTAGCAGATAAACACGTGAGTCCACTGTAGAAATCAATGATAAGAAAGGAAATCACAAACTAAATAGACTAAAGACTGTATCTGTTTGTCGGCACTCAATGATCAATCATCGTTTGCATTTACTATCACATATCACCATCTCCTTTAAGTTTGTGCGTAGGTGTTTAGTTCCATATTCATCTAAAAAGACTGATCTGCAACATAACACTACATCTGTCTTTTCTCACAAAACAATATAGGGACCTTATGTAGCCATACTATGACCAATTTGACGTCACCGATTCTCACTATCTTCTCATATCCCCATACTTCGATCATCATATGTGAGAACTTGGGGATACATATTAACATTATAATTTAAGGCATTCCTATTGCTTTTCATATTAGAATACACAAGGCCATTGTTCCAGTTATTAGGTAAATACGCATTCATATGTGTAATTAGTACGATATGTGATTCATCCAGGCTTGGTTCACCTACAAAACAATCAAATGAAAAAAAATACACATCTGCCCCCATACTCATTGGGATAATTTTGGACTCGATTTGAACTTTCTGCCTGTGAAAACTTCATAACTGAAAAAAAAAACTGGTTCTCTAATTGATTCGGTAAAACTTGTTATCCCCTCTGATTCATCATACTACTGACTAGGGTGTCTGCCCAACGTACATGTCTAACAACAAACAAGATAACATTAGAAATGTGACTAGAATTCAACTCATTTGGAACATTTTTTTTATATACATTAGGGATAAACACTAGAGGTTGATCCATTGTGAGGGCAAGTAACATCTGATATGAAACCACAAGGACTGTAATCAGATTTTAACTCATTTAAGACTTGTTCCTCACACTTGATTAGGATTACACTAGAAATAAATCAATCATTAGGATAAACCACATATGATAAAATAACATCAGAGTTCTCATCAGAATTTGTTTCATTCGACATATCTTCCACGTATTTGTAGACAACTTCATTAGAAGTACTGGAATCATGAGGACAACGCATATCTGGTAAACCAATATCATGAATCTGATCAAAGTATAATTCATTGAAAACATTATTCACACAAAAATTGAAGACTTCACTCGATAGAGGTAAATCATTAGACGGGTTGGAATAAATATCTTCGAAATATTTGAATTTTGCTCCAAATGCAAACATTATTAAGCATAAATTCACATAATATTGTTTGTTTGCATCTTCCAATTAATGTTTAGGACTACAATTGGTCAGGCTCTAATCGGCATATGTGCATACTGTGCGTATTGCCTCGATATAGTCACAAGCATTGTAAACAAACATGGATAGTAACTGTTAGGGGAATCCAGTTGTACGCGTATTTCATCCCATTTTGGACTCGTCATATGGATGTACAACTGCATCTCGGAGTTGATCTTCACTCTAGGACTCGAACCCAGTATTGTTCGCTTCAAATGCCATCGCGTTATCCATTTAGATACTGAGTAATGATAGCCACTTGCTTGTGCGTTCAGGAGGAAAAATTTCGATTCACATGGTACTGATTGTCTAAATATTTCCGAAATTTTCATACGCTTTCACAAAAATGGATCTACTACAAATTCCAAAATATTCACTTCGATATGATAAACAAAATTAAACGAAAAAATAAAGTAAAGTTAGTAAGCAAGTTTATATATTACACTTTCGACAAGTTTGTCAAACAAAACTTGATAATTCACTTAGTATTGTTTATTTGAATCTTCCCATCGATGTGTTTCAGACTGCAACTGGTCAGTCTGTGATTGGCATATGTGCATACTTTGTGTATTGCCTCGATATACCTTAATTCACAAGCATGGTAAGCAGAGATGGATAGTGGCTAGCAGTGGAATCCAAGACGCGCGTTTCGTCTTATTTGGGACTCGTCAGCTGGATGTACCTGCATCTCAGAGTTGATGTTCACTCTGATAATATTACAAGTAAATTAAACATATATACGAATATAAAACAATTTAACAAGATTTGTCTACAATTTGCACTATCATATATCTCTATCACCCTATCTGATCCATATTTATATTTCTGATCACAGATCTTAAATTTTCATTTTACGTATATACAGATTCAAGTTAACATTCTATATGAGAGTCATATCAACATTAACTATTTGATTTGACAATCCTAAATTTACATGCATTAAACTATGTACTTTGCCTTTAACATGGCCAATTTTTCGGATTATTAATTTGGATATATAATTGTAGTACCAGAAGAGAGAATTTATCGAAAAGACTATTCTTCGTTCAAATATTAGTCTTTCAATGTGTATAGATTGAATGTTTAGCAGAGATGTACACACTGCATGGTCTGCTTATTTGTCTGTGTGGCTGCAGTCTGTCGATATGTCATCAGAAATCTGTGTGCCTATTTATATGCGCCTTATTACAAGTCAGTGAATCATCCAGTCAATTAGACTCTCCCTTCCGCTACGAATACCACAAGCGTACACACAGAGATATGCATAAATGGAGACACACGGACCGATGGAGAGGTACACAGACTGACAGAGAGAGACAGACGGGTATGCAGACAGGCACACGGAATGACATGCAATGCATGGATCAATCAATCGATCAATCGATGGTTGAAAGAATCAAAGAGTGTAGTGAGAGAGAGAGAGAGAGACAGCGACGAACGGTCGATTACATAGTTGAATTTTCTATGAATCACTAGATCAAATGCACACATTCTTCCATCCATCCATACATCCATGCAAATCACAAACCGACCACCCATCAATGCTTTCGATTAGTGCATCGACTTATCATCCAACATCCGTTTGTCAATCGAATCCTCACATCGTTCATGACAGCATGAGTGTTATTTGATTAATATGTGTTGTATTCTCTTGCTCTGATCTCGGTTTTCACTTGCTCATTCTCCCTGACCATCTGGTCAGTTGTGGTATAGATTTGGTGGAAATGTTAGTATTATTCGTAGTGGTATTATTCGTAGAAGTACTAGTCGTGGTAGTGTGAGTAGTAATAATATAAGTGGTAGTAGTAGTAGTGGTAGTGGTCGTCGTTGTTGTTGTTGTCGTCGTCGTCGTGTTTGTGGTAGTAGTGTTATTCTTAGTAGTATTCTTATTAGTAATATTTGTAGTCGTGTTAGTGGTAGTAATATTTGATGATGTTGTTGTTGTTGTTGTTGTTTGTGTGTGTGTTTGTGTAGGTGTAATAAGATGGTGATTGTAGTTGAACGTGTTGTGTGAGACAGGTTATTTGATGATTGTTGGAGGAGGTGATTGGGGTTGTTTGTGTGTGAAGGGAATGGCCGGCTCCGTAGCTCAGTTGGTTAGAGCGTCGTGCTAATAACGCGAATGTCGAGGGTTCGATCCCCTCCGGAGCCAACTTTTCACCACCAAATTCTCAGATAATCATTTCTATGCGCTCCAAATAATGTTAACCTATCCACAACACTATCACGACCACTCACACACACAAGTGTGCAGGAATAACATCAATAATCAACGCTCACCACCTACAAACGCCCACAAATAATAACATGCAAAAGTCGAAATCCACATGAACACTGAGTAATATCGCGCGTCACACTCAGCTTCAATGTAAGCGACAGAGACAACGACAGCAACAGAGCATGCATCTGCATATCTTTCTGAGTGTGCGTCTTACGTGTGCATGTGTGAAGACACCGGCGTCATCATCGCCCATATGTGAATCAATCAAACAGGATTTGTCTACAATTTGTCAGTCAATGTGTATAGATTGAATGTTTAGCAGAGATGTACACACTGCATGGTCTGCTTATTTGTCTGTGTGGCTGCAGTCTGTCGATCTGTCATCAGAAATCTGTGTGCCTATTTATATGCGCCTTATTACAAGTCAGTGAATCATCCAGTCAATTAGACTCTCCCTTCCGCTACGAATACCACAAGCGTACACACAGAGATATGCATAAATGGAGACACACGGACCGATGGAGATGTACACAGACTGACAGAGAGAGACAGACGGGTATGCAGACAGGCACACGGAATGACATGCAATGCATGGATCAATCAATCGATCAATCGATGGTTGAAAGAATCAAAGAGTGTAGTGAGAGAGAGAGAGAGAGAGACAGCGACGAACGGTCGATTACATAGTTGAATTTTCTATGAATCACTAGATCAAATGCACACATTCTTCCATCCATCCATACATCCATGCAAATCACAAACCGACCACCCATCAATGCTTTCGATTAGTGCATCGACTTATCATCCAACATCCGTTTGTCAATCGAATCCTCACATCGTTCATGACAGCATGAGTGTTATTTGATTAATATGTGTTGTATTCTCTTGCTCTGATCTCGGTTTTCACTTGCTCATTCTCCCTGACCATCTGGTCAGTTGTGGTATAGATTTGGTGGAAATGTTAGTATTATTCGTAGTGGTATTATTCGTAGAAGTACTAGTCGTGGTAGTGTGAGTAGTAATAATATAAGTGGTAGTAGTAGTAGTGGTAGTGGTCGTCGTTGTTGTTGTTGTCGTCGTCGTCGTGTTTGTGGTAGTAGTGTTATTCTTAGTAGTATTCTTATTAGTAATATTTGTAGTCGTGTTAGTGGTAGTAATATTTGATGATGTTGTTGTTGTTGTTGTTGTTTGTGTGTGTGTTTGTGTAGGTGTAATAAGATGGTGATTGTAGTTGAACGTGTTGTGTGAGACAGGTTATTTGATGATTGTT